GGTACAGACAGTTTCTCCCAGTCCTTCTCTCCAGTCCCAGATAGGATGTCCATAAACTAGCTTACCATCTGACAACAGTATTGATCGAACTCGGGTATTGCATGGCTACTGTGGCCATCTAGGATAAGCAGGTGATAGACTCCTGCTGTATATGACCTTGTGTCAGATTTGATGGTATCTGAAGATGTCACGGTGACAGAAAGATTGAATGAAGATAGGTTGACTGATTGTATTCAGATATGTCCTTGTGTAGGTGAGGCTAGGACCTGACACCAGTTTTGATATTCCTTCTCTGGGCACCAAGGCTGCGCAGGGCACTAGCCACTGTAGAATCACTAGCCATATATCCTCAGATAGTACCGATATAGACAGTTTCTCCCAGTCCTCCTCTTCAGTCCCAGATAGGATGTCCATAAACTGGCTTACCATCTGACACCTTGTTTGATTGTCGAAGTGCTTTAGCCAGGCTAGACCAAGCTAGTCAGTTGTCCAACTGTTGTCACTCACTGCAAGCATCCAGTCATCTGGGATATCATGATACTAGCTAGCCTGGTGCAGCTTTCCTGATAGAATGATGAGAGGTAGGAGTGTCCAGCCAGACACGTTGATACACTCGATTGTTGTAACCCAGTCACGATTGCTAGGCTGTACAGTGACTGCTCGACTAACAGTATCAGAGCTAGTCACGACCTTTGATGTGCTAGCAACTCCCATCATAAACCCTGTCTCATCGAAGTTATAGGTATCTTGATCTAGTATCCTGTATACCTGGCACATATTATCTACAAGCTTGAACCACATGTTAAACTTGACTGGATCCTGACAGAGAGCACGCTGGGAGTGCAGCTTCCTATCCCATTTAGTCTGGAGCTCTGGCTGAGTATTGACGAAGCGTGACACCCAGTTCTTGCCTATAGGCTTGGGGGGAGGCTGCTCGCCACGAGCAGCAAGCAAAGCATCTACCATTCGTCATATGTCGATGATATGTGATGGAAAACCTCGTTGGTCAAGGTCTAGGATCCAGCAAACAAGGGACTGCTCTTCAACAGGTGATAGCTTGCGATTGACAGATATAGTCTCGTGTCGTGAGGGGGTACCATTAAGACGCGTCTGGAGAGTCACTCTGGGCATGTCGTACACTGCTGCGAGCTTCCGTAAGGACTGACAAGGATTAGACTTGAAAGAGTGAAGAGCAAGGCTAATTCTGCCCTCTTTTGATAGTAATTGAGCTTGTGGTTATCGAACCATGATCAAAAAGGTGGACGTGTTTTGGCACGGTTTGGTGGGGTGGCCAGCTCGGTGGTGTGGCCAGCTCACTGGTGGAACACGTTACTAGATATTTCGCTGACTAATACTATAAACGAAAACTAGCCACATCACGCTAGTTAGAAATGTGGCTGATACCCTTGCTTAGGTCACTTCCGCGTCCTCTTCACTTAACATCGCCTTCGCGATACTCCCTCACTTTCTCGTCGCGCCGCAAGAGAGCTATATTTCACCCTGCTTCTCTTACTCGGGGGCATGCTTGCTCCTTATTGGTTTGGCCGTCATGGCTAAGTCGTACGTCGTCCTCTCTAAAGTAGTACCTAGTTGGCCTGCAAGCTATAGCGCGACACGCGTTGCACGACGCGCGCTGCAGGCATAGAAGTTCTAAAACAATTGCTAACAAGAATATAGTGGATCCGCGAGGCATTTCATTGACCTTACACTTGATGATGACGACACAAACGTCGATGTTCCTGCGGTGGCGGCACACTTGACCAAAGGACCCAGTGATACATGGACGAAACCTAACGACGCGGGGCCTCCTCCTATACGATCCCGACTATCGCACCCGCCTCTAAAACACACGACACGTACACCTAATAGGCTTGAACGAGCAAGTTTGGCCAATAGTGACGCCGCTCTCAAGGATTCAGGCTTGGAATCTTTTCACAAGCATACAACGCCAAACAGCACTGTGCCGTACATATCGCCTGAGCACACGCTTTCTACTGTCTCTAGTATGCCTACAAGCGCCAAGGGCAGCGGACTTCTGGACGCGGTGGGCAACGGGGTTCATAGCGGGCGCACTGGTAGTGGAAGCACAGACATCCACAGGCAGAAGAGGAGGAAGCTTTCGTCGCATGGAAATGCTGGATTGAAATTGAAGTCTATGAACGGAGCGCCGACACTGCATACTCTTCGAATCGGACTTAATTCCCGCGACAGCAGATCCAAAATACCCACCGACTTGTTAGTAGCTGAGACACACTCACTGCATATTACAAGGGCTCCAGATGATGAGGTTGCATTGACGCCGGCCACTACGCCTCTGTCAGATGAGAGTCATGCAATTATACCTGTCGAACCTGAGCTTCAATCTTCAGATTTTGAGAAGCTAGGTTATGGTCATGAGAGGGATTCCAACGAAGACATATCTGCCGGAGATGCCGATGACCGATTTTTGGAGAGTTACCGAGCTCGGAAGTCCGAATCGAGGACTTCAGGCTCTACCGACGGGTTGCAACACCAGTCCTTGCAAGCCCCTGCCTATTCTAACGAAGGGGTGGCCCCGTCTAGGGCGGAGATAAGAGAGAGTGTAATCGATCTGGACCTTGCTAAGGTAACGGGAATGGCGCAGCGAGCATCGACTCAACTAGCAGATTCTGAACGAGCCGGTAGCCTAACGACGGACTCAAAGAGAAACAGACAGTTCACGGCACAAGACAACGATTTGATGGTTTATTTGAAAGAAGTAAAGGGCTTAGGGTGGGGGGAAATAATGCAGGAGTTTCCCGATCGAACCAAAGGCGTGCTCAACACCCATTATTGCCGCAAAATCAAAGGGAATAATTGGATGTTAAATCGCTTGACTCTGGAGCTGCCCCCTAAGTATGCTGCTGAAGCTGAGGTATTGTGGCCCGCCTTTCGCAAAAGACTGGGGTTGCAACATTCCCCATCCGCCACGGTCCCGTTAAGACATGAGGGCACACCAAACGATATACAGGATCAAACATTCCTTCCTCAGCCAGCACGTCCTGGAGGACGCCCTCGCAAAGAGGCTACGACCGCGATATCACTATCAAAGACATATCCTTCTGCTGTCTACAACTCAAGCTCTGACTATGACTCAGCGCCTCGTCAAGGACCCGCTCGTCCTCAGCGCAGTGTAGCCTCAGTCGATTATACCTGGCCTCGGCGCCGTCGGCGACCACAGACGGCAGAAGACTTTGACGAGGACATAGTAATTGAAAAAGCGGAAACCCCTGACTTGGAGCATCTACACGGTTCTTTAGCTGTCGAAGATGACGTTGTGCTACCTGTGGATGAACCAATGGACTTGGTGTTTGACCTAGAGGACGCCCGATTAGCCGTAACAGGTGGAATTGTCCCCTATCTTTCATTTTCGCAGCGAAAAGTTATTCAAGACGGCTCTCTGGAAGGGGAGTGGGATCAAATCGCCAGTAGGGGTTGGCAAGGGACCGTCCTGCACGTGGATTTTAGTCGGGAAGAGATGGAGACAGTGGAAGACTCGCTTCAACAGATTGTCGGGGATGCCTGTCAACGGTCTGGCAATATTCGGAAACGACTAAGAAGGACACTGTTCAACCTACCTGAACCGAAGCTCGTGCGGCTTTCCCAAGCTGTACGGCGGAAACTCCAATCAAGAGATGTATCAAGCATAGATGCCTTCATTCAGGATGCCGCGGCCGGCAAGCTGTCTGTTTCTCCTCACATCCAGCGAATTGGGGCTGCACGACCAAAGCGGACTTGGAGTTCGAGTGGCAGGACGTCCACGTCTTCACTGCTTCGTCACCGTGAATTTGGGCTCCAAGCACGCAGAGGCTGGAGCGCTGCTTCAAGGCCATTGAGTTACAGCTTCAGGAATAATGTCTATGACACATTGGGACCTACGCTATCTTACACAGGAGCATCAGGTGACGTAACCACCGTCGCGTGGAGTCCTGACGGACTAAACTTCGCTGCTGGCGCAGTCTGTGTGACTGATCGTGATTCAATGCAGTACAACAGACCAAACAACCTTTTGTACGGCGATGTGGTGAAGCAGACCATACATGAACTTGCAGAACACCGTAGGGAGAGGAAGAGGCCCGAGTCGGGTCCCAATTCCTCAGAGGAGATGCACGTCTCGCAAGATCCTTATCTCTATTATACAGTGTCTTCCGTCGCCTTTTCTGCGGATGGAGACTGGATGTTTGCTGCAGGCTATGATCACACGGTTACAGTGTGGCATACGCGTGACAGAGGGAGCGGTGAGCGATTTCAGCCAAAGCTTTTTAAGGCACTTGAACATAAAGCCAAAGTGGATATTATCGCAGTGAGCCAGCACAACACTCTGGCCACTGCTGCTAATCGATGGGAGAAAGCTATCAAAGTCTGCACAGTCGAGGGCAATTTTTCGCCTACAACATTCTCGTCAACAAAAGGGCATCAGCGACCCGACCTGAAGATTCTACCCACGGCGTTAAAATTTGAACCGACTTATGGTCGCTTGCTACTTGCTGGTTTTGGCGCCAATAGGTCCGAAGACCGACTCGATACCACCGGGGACATATGTCTTTGGGATGTGCAAACGCAGCAAGAAATCATGGTTTATGGCTCCACTGCAAACATCTTTGATGTGGCATGGGCCCCAAACCGTGCCTTGACATCCGTGTTTGCAGTAGGCTGTGTAGCAAGTGGGAATGTGAATAGGGGCACCCGCTCGCTCGTGCGTCTCTATGATGGAAGAGGGTTTGAAAAACGCACCAAGATAATGGAGGCCGAGTGCCCAGCACTCGACATGAACGATGTTGTTTTCTGGTAGGTCAGATCGCACCACTCACCTTCACCAACTAATTGTCTCGCAGTCCATACGACGAAAATCTCATCGCCGCTGGCTGCACGTCGGGTCATACCTACGTATGGGACTTGCGTAAACCAGATCAATGGCTTTACCGACTCCAGCATGGTAAATCGCTGATGCCGCTTGATGAGGGAGTGTCTCGTGAGGTCGTAGATACAGGCGTGCGCTTCCTGTCGTGGGGCGACAACGCCACTCGCCTGTACACTGGCTCCTCTGATGGAGTAGTTAAAGTCTGGGATGTTGCGCGCGCACACCAGGACGTCTTCGTCAGAGATCTTGTAACTCTCAACTCGGGAATCATGAGCGGCGCCTTCAGTCCAGACAACAGCCGGCTACTCCTTGGTGAAGTTGATGGCTCGGTCAATGTGCTAGAGGTTGGGAACAATGACCGCTCTGTAAGAGACATGGAGAAGATGACATATGTCCCATACAAGGAGGACGTCAACGAGGCAGTCCTGGCTGAGCATGGCACAGAACCTGCTGCGCAGCTTCTTGCTAGCGGAGAAATGGTCAACGTTCCCTTTGGAGGTTTCCCCGTCCGCCAAGCTGTCCAGGGCCCCAACTATCGCGGCCCTTTCGATACATCTGCCGATGCATCATATCTCAGGTCACAAGCCAGGAAGTTCCAATTGGGACTTGCAGAAACCTCACAGAGTTGTGACGTTCCTTCTTGCGGCAACACGTCCATCCTGAGAATGACAGCCGAGGAGCGGGGCGATTCAGGACGTAGTGTTGACCGAATTCCCGACGAACTGCGCAAGCTCTGGAGTATAACTGAATCGGAACAGGCTGCTTTCCATGGCAAATCGAAATGCCAGAACCCTGCTTGTGGACGACCAGCTCGACCGAAAGTCGCCTTTGGCAGTGAAGCACAAAAGCAGCTCTGTGAGCGTTGCAGCTTTGGCTGCTTTCGATGTGGGGGACTGTGTAGAATTCTAAACCCTGGAACTGATGACAAAGTTGTTTGTCAGTCTTGCCTGGAGGCTTGGGAAATAGGAGCGTTGGGATATGAGGCTATTGACGATGATGTCCTGGCAGCAACGACTTTGGAGCTTCCTGTACCGCAATTATCTCGTTGGAAGAGAGCCGTGGAGCGGGAAAAGGAACGTGATGAGAGGAAGGGCACGAGCTGGGGGGATGAACTGAATGCTCTAAGCGACTACTATTTTGGGCTCACGGTGCAGGAAGAGGAGGATGACTATTGACAACTGATCTGGGAGGTGGGTGACGGGCTGCTGGCGGAGGTTGGCAAAGCACGTTGAGCCTTACGGTTCTGAGACCAGCTGGTGTTCAAGTGTGAAGGTGAACCAGCGTTGTATATTAGCTGATGCCCACCAGTACCGCAGCATCGCTGCGTTCTGTTCCCGTGGGAAGGTTGAGCAGTTGGCTGGAGTCTTGCGTGCTTCAACGCTTCACGAGGTTGACGGTGTTCGCATTGTCCTATGCAATATGATACCCTTCGGACAGACGTCTCATATTTTCATGTGTTGACATCGGCGATCTCATTCACACATTACGCATCGGTGGCATGGTATAATCACCCCTAATGGCGCGTCTCTGCCAGTTCAGCCTACCTAGCACTGGTACCGATTTTACTAACGAACCAAGATAGATACAGATCGGAGTACATCACTTAATTTATGCGTAGGCCAATAGTCATTCTGGAGTTCGAATGACATCTGGAAAGGACCGAATGGGTCCATACGCGTCGCAATTACACCGAAGCGTCACGCTAATGCGCACAAGAACATTCGAAATCGGTCGGTCGATGCCTCCTACCGTTCTACTTGTTTCTCCTACACGTCTACTGTGTTCGCCTTCTCCATATATCCACCTGGTCTATGTCTTCACTGCAAATTGTGCCCCCTCCCAAGCAGCCCCCTTCCAAACAGCTATAGTGAACCCCTCACGCGATATCCATTAATTGTAATATTGACATCAAAACGTAACTAAGGCCCCACAACATGGCTGCACATCGACGTATCCTTACGAGGAGTGCCGCCAAAATAAGACAAATGTTGTCCACTCTCTTCAAAAAGCGCACTTGTAGTGAGTCTAAAGCCCTCTCCCTCATCTAGCCCGGCATGCTAACAAAGACTACAGATACTCCAGTGCCCAAGACATGCTACGTCTGTCTAGAAGAGAGTTCGAGAGTAGACCTTGTACGCACCTGTCCGTCGCATTTTATCTGCAGGGACTGCGTACCTGCGGCTTTACAAAACCAAATTCCTCTTTCCTGCCATAGCGCATACAGGATCCCGCCAGAGAGATTTCGAGGAGAAGTCGATAAAACACTTATCAAAAAGTATGAGGAAAAATTAGAGGGAAATGACATCCCTGTTCGACTGCGCGTGTATTGCGCTTCACCCCGGTGTTCGAAGCTCCTTGCACGTCATACCCACCGACACACTCAACAAGTACATTTCGCCAAGTGCGATTGCGGCAAGAAGACTTGCCTCACCTGCAAGAGTCTCCTCGGAAAAGTCAACGGTCATATCTGTGTAAGCGATACAGATGCGAACGGTCGACCGATTTGGCTTCCTCAATACACCAGCACTTTCCGCGCAAAACCCTGCCCCAATTGCCGGATTGTTATCGAACACATGGAATGGTGTAACCGCATCATTTGCCCTCATTGCGACCACAGTTGGTGCTTTGTTTGCTTGCGGCCAGAAGCGAGGACTACAGGTGATTATGGGCTGCACGATTGTCCACTTCAAGGCGATCCTGAGTGTGACTATGACGAGGAGGGGTACGAGAAGTCCCCACGAGGCATTCATCGAGACACTGGTCTCCCGAGACCCACCAACACTGTGATGGCAGATTCACATGATCCACCGGAGGTCGGCGTAATTGACGGAGGGGATCGACCATGACCACTACCCCTTTCCACTTCCGACTGAACGCGGCCCCGCACCTCCTCCGTGCTGTAGGTTTCCACGTCCGATCAAGCAGTGAAGGCGCTGCACAGATATAACGGCTCTTGCAATAAGCTTGATAGCGGCTCTGTCTAGGCATACTACTCCTTAATGCAAGAGCCGTGTTGTGGCTTAATCAGATTGCTGGCAATTGGTTTGCGCTGAACACGCAATGAAACCTGGTGAAACCGACAAGCGCACAGTAGTGATCCATTAGACATAGGAGAAAGCAAGTTATGTGATATTAGTAAAGTTGTTTTCGCCTTGTTTTACTTCTCCGTTATTAGTGTATATCTGTCCCTGTAGCATACATCTCCATGTCTCATCTACCCCTATGCTGTAGGACACCCAAGCTGTGGAAAGTTGTGGGTATTCACGGTGGTCGGCGTGCAGACTCCATTGAACACAGTGACGCCCTCAAATTTGGCTTGTGCGCCGCCCTTGTTTGCCGGAAGCTGCTTCTTACTTTCCGCAGCCGCTGTTTTCCTGCAATACATATCGCCACTGCATGCCGCACCCGCGCTGGAGCAACGGGGCAAGCAAGCCGGGAGGAACCTTATCGCCCCGCTGACAGGACATGTGACGGGAATCTGGGAGCATTGCGTAGTGCCTCCGCACACCCCGTTGGCCGGGCATGCAACGATCGAGGTACTACTGATTGATGCCCGGGTCTTGAGGTTGACGAGGTCAGTTGTAGCGTTTATAGCCATATCTTGCGTCTGGACGTTGCCCAAAACCGTGAAGTCGACGACAGGTCCCTGGGCAGTCCGCGGAGGAGGGGATTTTAGAGCAGGGGCGTCGCGTCGTGAGGCATAACCGGTGGAGTCTTCGACACAGAGAGAGGGATCATCCCAGGTTGCAGCAGCGGCGTCGCGCCAAAGCCTGGTCAGGTTGTAGACGTTGTCCAGGGTGTAGTAAATACGGCAGTCGGCGGCTTCGTAGCGGAATTGCAGGGGAATGCGGGCCTCGTCACCTTCACGGATCTGGTCGCGGATATTGAAGCCTGCGTAGTTGATCCACATGCCGCGGTCGTCGCGAGACGGGAGGCTTGCTGCCACTGCCTCATTCTGCAGTACATCTTTGACATTTGTAAAATCGTAGTCGAGACTCTCGGCTGAGTACAGGCGAGCACCACGGTTGCCGCTCGCGGTCTGCATAGGTCCTTTGGCAGGGCGTCCGCCCGCTACGATGGTCTTCACGCCAGCTTGTTGCATAAGCTCTAGGAAGTAGGCGCAAGCGGAAGAACAAAGACCGTCCGTCAAGATCACGATGTTCTCTGGATCCCAAACTTGAGCTGGAACGTCCGTTTCGGCGGAGATCCCGTATCCGAATGGGATCCAGTTTTGGAACGCCGAGGAATCGAAGACCTGGTCACTGAGATTGTAAAGTTGCTTCACAACGAGTCAGTCATTGCCTTCATCCTTTGTGAGGGGCACTTACCGTTCGGGAGAATGCATCGCCATTCTCAGAAAGGGGGCCGTAATATTCCTCCCACGAGCTAAAGTTGTTTCCTGTTTCCGCATTGATTCTGTTCGCGACCCACTCGGAACTGGCGAAGTACCGGTACAGAGGGTCCTCAGCGCCATCATCCCCGGTCTCAAGACTGCTCCACCATTCGGAATATGTGCGGCCCAGAATATTGGCGAGTTCGTGGCTGCGAATCCGGCTTCCTGTCCAAGGCTCCCTTCCATAGAAGAATCTCTTGAAAGTAGAGAGCGCCAGGAACTGCAAGCCGCCCGAGTTCTGTTGTAGATCGATAACAATGCGTGAGATGTTCAGACTCGTTGCATTGCCGATGAACTGATCCACGGCGATGAAAAAGCTGTTTGTATCATTTCCTGTTGCGTAGAAGCTTGGAAGACTGAGCACGCCAGTGGAGATGTCATCGAGGAAATACCCCGTCACTACTCCGCCTCCGGTAATCTCCAGGTCATCCTGGACAATATCTGGGTTGTTTGGGAATGCACCGTGACTCGTAAGGCACCAGTGTTGCTCTGATGCGTTTCCATTTGAGCAGCCATAGTCTGGCGGACTGGTGTCTTCCACTGAATCATCGCCAGTTACACCGTCGCCCGAATCGTCCTCCGGTGTCTCGTCGGGCCACCACTTTGGGTTCTCCTCGTCATAGCTTTCAGGCAAGAACCCAAGCACAAAGTAGTTGTAAAAGTCTCCAGCGGTAGTGAGGGGTCCGGTAGAGTCGATGGCGGCGTACGTAGCAAGCCAATAGGTCTCGATCGAGGAGCCATTAGCAAAGGTGAAGTTCAATTCATTCCCTGGATAGAATGTTGCTGTCCGGAGAACACTGAGGTCGCCGAGAATATCGCGGGACGGGTGCTCCATGAGCGCATTCCAGTCGGCATGAGGCTCCAGATAGCCTTCGGAGTTGAGCTCGGCAAAGGCGGTCAAATACTCCACTACATCCACACCGTTGATCCGAGTCACAGGGGATGGCTTCCATCCTTGGTCTCGACTAGATACGACGTCACCCTGCAGGTAAATGGCGGGCTCTTGTTTTCCATCAGCAGAAGCGGAAACGAGACCATAAGGTGATGTAAAGGCAAAGGGTGCGAGAATTCCTGCGCTTAGGTAGACGTGCGCATCATGGATCCGGTTTATGAGTAACTGCACTTCCGCTTCAAAGGCGTATTGGTTTTTGTATGCGCCTGACGCAACTTTGTCTTGTATGGCCTGCAGTTCCTGGAGCACGTCGACAGGTGGTTGCTGGTAACCCTCTGGGGGATTCTTTAGGTATGCGAGTGTGCTCTGGAATTGAAGTGTTTGGTTAAAATAATTCAAAAATCGCGTAGCTACGGAGTCGATGAAAGGGACGCTTTGCAGGCATTCGAAAACATCGGACGCCCAGAATTGGGTATAGCCTAAACTCACAGTTGTTAGGACAGCGCTGACGTGAATGCGCGAACCGTGACTTTACCTTGTTCATGAGCAACTATAAGATCACCACAAACAGTATTTGCGACATCTGGTGGACCTGGCGGTATTAGCGACGGTATCTGTGGTCTTGACAATGCAACGGTAAACAACGATAGCAATGTAGAAATATAAAAGAACGACATTGCGATTCTTGAATGGCGAACGCAAACAGCAGGCGAGTTGGGGGGCCATACTGATGGTGATAAATACTTCGTATTGTAGGTACAACCACTCATTGAAGCTTGTTTGAGCCCCCTAAGCACATTTCCCTCTTCCGTCCTAGGGCTGATCCCTCTTCCCGTTTCCCTAAGCACATATCCCTCTTCCGTCTGTGGCGCCTGCGTCCCCCTGCTCGGCGACCAAGACACAACGCACTGGGTAGGCTCCGCACCAATCATAGGATCAGGCGAAATGGAAGATGTAAGCAGCCTTTGCAAGGCAATGCCGTGACATGTTGATGTAGCACAGCGGCAATCCCTGCGCATCTAAGTAAGGCTCAAATTCAATTGCATGTTTGAGCCAGAGTCTTAATCTTAATTCTTTGCTGCTCGAATCTCTATCCGGCTGGTGAAGAGCATGGAGCATTTCCCCTAGTTTCGTAACAATTTCCTAGAGAAGCTTTTTGGGTTGTGTAATTGTCCGTCGTCGCGGTTCTCAAGTCTACCTAAGCATCTTGGTCATGAAGTGCTTTTTACGCTAGGTTGAGCCTTCGGTTGTTGCCTGTGCTGGGCGGCTTCTCCCCAGCACTTGTGGGTCATCAGGACCTGTATTTAAAGGCCTGCTGTCTGGGCATCCCTTAGGGGAGAAGCCAGAAAACGGCTGAGTGGGGGCTGAGACCAGTCAGCGTCGCATTACATACCAGCCCAATCCGATCAGGCTCTCACCCCGTGGACGCTAGCCTCTTATGATCATTGATAAGCAAACCCCAAGATTCCGGGAACCTCTCAACACTCTGGTTCCTCAACTGAAGGGCAAATGTAGCCGCAGATATGGCAGACCCATTTGGCTCGAGCCGACCTTTGTGGCATCCCTCTCTCCCCGTCCGTGACCATTATAAACTGCCGCCCGACGTGTTCTATCCACTGCTGGAAGACTTCCTCCAAGATGAGAGATATACCAAGTGGGCCGCAGGCTACAAACCATGGAAGCTACATTGTTTCGGTAGTCCTGGATGTGGGAAGGCAAGTAGCACTGTCTTGTCGGAACACTTGGGGAGACGATAAATTCTAATAGGCCTAGAGACCACGTTTGCAGCCATGGCGGTTGAGAAACTACGGAAAAGATATCAAGGCACAGATGTCCGTCTTGCGTCCATTTTCATACAAGACCCTGTCTTTCATGACCATACCGCGTTCATCGAAGACCTGTTGGCGTGTGTGTACTCGCAGCTTGCTGTGGTGCCTGATCTTGGGAATTATACTCCTACGCTGCCTCACGATTACATTGAAGCCTGTAGCAACGGCTTGCCATTCTTGGATAGGGTCGAAATCATTCGGAGAGAGTTGCATAGCTTACTTCGGGTTAACCAACATAACTTTCTCGTGCTTGACGGTTTCGATAACTTGGACGCTGCGGCACGATTCCTCTTGGACCACGAGCTGAAGCACCTGCGCAATCTATCGTTGCTAGTCACTCGCCGGTTTCCCGCATCTCGAATGCCAAAAGAAGATGTTATATGTGACCACTGTCTGAAAACAGACCTCCTCCTCTACTGGGAATGCCAGGATTGCTCCGAGGATGAAACTCCTCAATACTGCAATGACTGCCACGAAGCATCCGTTCCTTGCCAGAGAGGTCATTCGTTGAATTTTGCAGAGCCTTACAGCCGTGTTGACATGGACATCAGCATGCCTTACATGCGCATCCAATCATATGTGGAAAAAACTTCTGGAACAGCTCTGGATCGGTATATTGAGCGTGAGGTCTGCAATCGATTCGGGCTTACCGAAAACACTGATATATCTGCGCCAGAGTATGTCATCGATGTTGCTGGCTCTATCAGTGAAAAGTCCAGGGGCAATATCAACATAGCTAAGCTTCGCCTCGACGAACTGTACGCCGAAGAGACAGCAGCAGGGAGCACCAAAGTCAGCGACAGACTGCCTCGCAGCATCATAGCCTATTTTGACTCCGAGATTGCACGCTTGGGGGACCAAAGCTCTTCAATGCGTAACCTCGCTTTGGCTGCCATAGCTGCGGTAGCTGAGTACGGGGATGGGAGAGGCATTTCCGTTGAGGAACTCGAGCAACGGACGCGCACAGTAAGGGCCAATCATCCCATTCGTAGTTTGGAGGACATTCTGTGCGCGGCGAATGGTCTACTTGCAATGCAACCATATGATCCTCAGATCTTCGTGGCCTGCTATACACTAGATTTCCTATACTATACCCAGGAAAACTACAACGAGGCCCTTTATAGAGCCAAGGCGAGCGTGGATGGGCCCGCGTTTCCTGAGGACGGCGATGCGACAGGGCTAGAAGAGTTGGAACGGAGCATGGCCGGAATGACCTGTTCGCCAAACATTTCTGGTGGCGCTTTTGGATCGATAAAGCAGGAGAGTGGGGGACTCAGGTCTGGAATTGACAGCGGGTATGGCTCTGCGAGCTCTTCGCGGCAAACCACTACGAACAGCGATTTTCCAACGTTGAGCACCCTGAACCCTGACGGTGTTTCTGGCCGTATTGGCATCGACCTTGAAGCTTCACGCCGCAGCGAGGATGCCAAAGTGCTTGACGGGCCGTCAGATGATGAAAAAGTAGTGGAATATGCGGGATCTCTGAACATCAGGGTATGCCCCTTTTGCGATGAGCAAATCTTGCGCAGCGAAGCACTCCAGGGACCTCACCACATATCGTTCGATTCGCTGAGAGGAAGTGTCCGAAGTCGCTGCGCATTCTGCTCTGACCTGTACCGCGGCATTCTGTCTCCAAGTGGAAAATCTTCTACCGTCCAAGACGACAACAGATGGCCTCAATACTATTGGAATGTCCGTACTACTGGAAGAACAGACAATGGCAAAGCCTTCATGACGGTTATCTTCCGAGCCACTGAGGGCAATAGCCGTACTCAGCAACAACTTAAAGTCAAGACATATCATCTTCTCATCGAGAAAGCAATTGGTAGTATCCCAACTGCAGCAACGTTAGGGCCTTCAACGAATCCCAATATATCTGGCGGAGCCCAACTCAAAAGGTGGATATATACCTGCAATAATTCTCATCCACATTGCTACAAGCACCGCAGCGGTGCGTTCGTTCCCAGCCGTCTTGTGGATCTCCGTAGCGGGGACATGATTCGCGTTGTAGATACACGGGTATCCGGATTACGGACTTCCTATGGAACGTTGTCGCATTCATGGGGTCCCCCGAACTTCCTCATTCTTACTCAACGGAATAAATTCCAGCTCATGGGCCCTGGCGTCCGGATTGATGAACTCTCCATCAATTTCCAGCAAGCCATTGCGGTGGCGAGGTTCATTGGCTTGGACTACATCTGGATTGACAGTTTGTGCATCATTGTAAGCCTCCATTCGACAATACAATCATCCTTCCCGCTAACTTGTGTTTTCAGCAAGGACCTGATGGAACCTTCCGGGAGGACGGGATGCTCATGCACCAGGTTTATCGTTGCAGCTTTTGCAACATAGCCATCGCAGACTCGGCGGATAGCAAGGGTGGCATTTTCCGCGACAGAAATCCCAACGATGTCCTGCCAGCCTCATATGTGTCCGACGGTAAGGGCAAGCTTGACAAAGGAACATGGAGGATACTTAGTGCGGATTTCTGGAAAGAAGAACTGCTGGGTACGAAACTCTACACACGCGGATGGGTCTTCCAAGGTATGTCATGCCTCAATTACTCTGCTGGTGATGGGCGAATAGGTACTAAGAGACTTGGTAGAACGTATGCTCTCACCAAGAATTTTACACTTCGCCGCCAATCAGATCTTCTGGGACTGCAGTACACTTAGCGCCTGTGAGGTCCTGCCCGAGGGGCTTCCGCATTCCCTTGATGGACTCGCATCAACTGATCGCCACTGGCGAGGCCGTATCCAAGCCTCAACTTTGTCGACATCTCTGGAGTCTGGCTCTGAAAATGAAGATCCCGCAGCACTCACAGGATCTAATGATGCTTCGTTGGAGACCTTCTGGCAAACTGCGCTTCAGAACTACACATCCTGCGCCCTAACAAACCAAGGCGATAAGACCGTCGCAGTATGGAGTATCGCAAAAATCGTTCGAGATGTTCTAAAAGAAGAATATGCTGGTGGCATGTGGGAGTTTGCCCTGGAGGAGCAATTAGCCTGGCGTCTGAGGGATAGTGGGACTGCCAATACCAGGATACCGGAGCTGCAGGCTCGAAACCCGAGCTGGACTTGGGCGAGCGTAAAGGGTACAGTTGTTCCTCACGAGAGAGTGGTACCGCCAAGGTGTTACACAGTCACAGGCTTGAATGGTCAGGAAAGTGTCAAGCTGAGAGTGAAAGAATATGCCGACAAAGACAGTGAGCCACAGTTGGCGAGCGGAACATTGGAAATGGCAGGATATATGGGCACGGCGCGCCTGAAGCCGTCACGTTCAGAGTCTAAAGATCATGAACTCGAACTCGTGACACGAGACGGCAGAAAATACAAAGTGGGTGGATTATTCGACGTTCATCTCGACGAGGTTTCCAGCGAGGATGACGGGCCCACTCTGGAAATGGAGTTCATCTTGCTGGCGGCAAGCTGTATATCCGAGTCTGGCATGCCAGTGGACGACAATGACGAAAAGGAGTACGAAGACGAGGACATCAATCAGAGAACATACACCGGAACGGCATTGCTTCTCGTATCGCACAAGGAATATGCTTCACGGCAATACGCAAAGTACCGCGCCCTGCTCAAAGAGGTTGTAGCTCGCTCGCCAAACTACCTCATTCCAGATCCCCCTTATGGAACTGGCAAATCATTGGTTGAGCAAACGGAGGATATAAGAAAGCTTGTTGAAGTACTCACGTCGACTGAGAAGCGGGAGGTTGAGGGGGGTTTGGGTCTTGATAGGTGCTACAGGAGAGCAGGGGTTTTTATATTCCAGGGTATGAAGCGGGATATGTGGAAGTCCATCAAGGCCGGTGGAAGGACTGGAATTCGGCTTGGCTGATAGCTAGGTGCTGTATCCACAGAATCCTTCCCTTGAACGGGTGGGTCTTACCCATATGCTGCTGCACGGGTGTACTTTCCGAGTATATATTAGTGACTGGTGCGTCTCTATAACTGTTATGCGGAACGCTAGTTATCAAGGGGCGCAACGGGGTACTTTCGTAGGTGCATTATATATTGTTGCAGTAGAATAGACGTGAGTGTTTGATCGTACTGTCAGCTTTGACAAACACAAGTCCGAGGAATTGTTTTTGAAACTCTCTAGTCTGCACTCTATATCTAGGGACGTGAAGGATGGTTTTGCGACCGCTCTCGCAGCACAGAGCCTGCTTTGCTTAGAACTGTCTAAGTCAATTGTCAAAGTGCAAAGGAGACATTACTGCCCTGGTATAATAGGGGCCTTTGGTTAGGTTAATGTTTTAAGCAGACAGCCTCTCTCTACCTAAGCCTCAACGTCCCGCTGCACTTCCTCTGTACTGCTGTTTCGTAGTTTTACCGAAACAGCTAGCAGATGCAGCAGTATAACGGCCGTTGCAATTTGCTTTACAGCGGCGCTATCTACGTATAATAAGCTCTAGAATAGTGCTCTACGTAAAGCAGGATTAAGTAGTAGCTGATTAAGTTGCGCGCTGACTTGGTAACATCCCCTCTGGAGGAATGGCAGGGGGACGTTGAGGTAGTAGACATAGATATCTTGAAGCGGTTGAAGGTATGTAGATTTGGTAAGCTGCTGCCTTACATATCAAGGCTTGAAACAAGCTGATTGGTTTTACAGTACACTCACAAGCAAGACTCCGCCTCTGAGGATGCATTGGTCGCTGCCTACTAATCTAATTTAAATGAAATCCTGCCGCGCGCCCAATTCGATTGGAAAAGAGGCGTAGTCGTTGGCCTACACGAGAGGGACGCACTATATATGAGAAATTTCTAGTGCTTTCAGCTACTCGTCTCCCCGCCACGAGTCACTCTCAACGTGCTGGACAAGGTCGACTAGGACGATACATACGATCCCGATCACGAGCTACAGAAGCAGGTAAACTAGTTCTCTATGGCATAGAGCCTACTAATCGGCTCGTAGAATGTGTTCCCTCTTGACAACTACAATCCATTACAGAGGCTGTCCTGAATCATGCGATACTACAGTCACTCGGTTGGTGAAATGCCAGGACGCTGAGAACTCTGGGAACGTTTGTGCGAACCCGACTCAATCTTACGGGGGCAAAACCACGGCTCGCCAACAGTGCCCCAACCATCGGGATGAAGGGTATTCTCAAAGCTAGTTGCTATATCTCGAGCCTCCACTATATAGCAGTGGGTGGGCGGGGGTTGTGATCTGTCGCCTGGAGAAAGCTGTTGATGGTCGCATTTACTGGCTGAACCGAGGCAAGTTTAGAAAATGGCTTGCAGGATGAGATTGAACCCCCAACAAACACACTTACATGGAGGGTTTTGCGGCCGAATAGTCAGACACTCCTTGATATCTCTGAATGAACATGATCACCCTTAGCCGATTGATGAGTCTCCATCTTGCTCGCCCTAGCTTGGTAGATCCCAGAGCTACAGGAACAAGAGACTACGCGGTAGAGATTCGGGAATCTCCATGCGGATCCAATTTGTCCACAAGGTCACGGATCAGCTCTGCGGAGCGGGCCTCTTGTCGCCAGCATAACTCGATAATCCTTCGGCAGGGTACGCCCGCCAGATCCGGGAATTCTCCATTTAGATATCTTTTCTCTACCTCACCGTCCGGCAGGTCGTCGAACGGCGCCTTCCCCATTACAATGTAATAGATAGTCGAGCCAAGGGCAAATAAGTCCTCTTCAACTGATGGCGGCTTCCCCGGTTTCCAATCGGGATCTGGTGCCATGTATCTTGCTCCAGGGCATACCATCGCCCGAGATCCATCGAGGGAGGAACCGCTGAAGTCGGCAATCTTGAGGCTTAAATCTGCGTCTAGTAAGAGGTTGTGGGGCCCGACATCGCAGTGGATTATGCCCGCGGAATGCAGGAGGTGCAGCCCTTCGGCTGCTTGCGCTATCCAACAGAGTCGTTGTTCCGGCGAGATCTCCTCGTGGTGAGATTTCAAGTACTCCTCGAGCGTGCCATTGGGCATATACTCCAGTGTCAAAGTATGGGCCTCCGGGTCCCAACCCTTCAGCTTCACCAGCCGAGGATGTTCCCCCAGTCTCTGATATATCTGCGCCTCGATCGCGATTTCCCTCCGGCAGTCTTCCTCTCGAATGTCACCAGCCCAGGGAGTTTTGATGATGTCGCCTGATGGCAATCGCTCCACTAATGATGTCGTTCCGCCGGCTATAAATTCGCCTTTCCCGTCGATGATAAACAAGTCGTCGGGAAGTTGGAGTGCAGTATTGGCCGTGTTCTTTTCGGGATTCATGTCTGCCGACACTGGTAGCTTTGAAATGGTGTCTGGGTTCCCGCCTATCGGCCTGGCAGTCGAGAGCTCGTTCAGCATGGGGTTAAGAGCCGGGGCTTCCTTACCGACCGAATCTTCTTTTGTCTCAGAAGACGGAAACCCATCCATGGAGTGTGGCAATTAAGGACACCGGTCGGTTTGAAGACTGTCGCTGAATGTGATGTGTGCTAGGTCGTGATAGATGGCTTCGGCGTAAAGTCCCGAAAAGTTATGTAACAATTCCAAAACTCTCTATATCAACAACTAGCTTGACTGGCAAGGGATCACCTCGATGATGATAGGGCAGATAAGGTGGGGATAGTTGAAATCGAAGGCAGACGGCGCGAGATTTGTTGTAAACCAAATCCGAAGTGGTCTGTGCCGTGTCGACAGGGGTCTGTGGGTATGCCATGACTAAGCATGGCACAATTGCAAGGAGAGACCAAATAATAGCATTATTTCTAATGAGATAAGCATTAATATAAAAATGTGCCATAGTTGTTTCCCAACGAGCTTGCTAAACCTGCAGCTGTGTGATTTTTAGGGGCTTCTTGCGCGAACCTACAACAATCTGTAAACGACTTTACGCTAGGAGGAAAGCTTCATCACGAGACTCTTACCTATGCCCTTATAGACTTTCGAATATACAGCTAGGGATTAGATGGTGCCTGAGGAACAGTTTCACGATTGCGATAAGTTTAAGGTGAACACCCTGAAGTGTAAACAGTACAAAGTGCCCTCCAACTCGATAGTGCGTAGCGAACCCTGGGAACAGTAGAATATTCTAAATTGACAGGCTACTGTGACGGCTGACTACTGTGTTGAATGCATATATCAACAGGTTGACTTCATTAGGCCACGTAGTCATGTCAAACTCTAATTGCTGGCGATTTGATACTAATAGCGACCGTGACGATCATGTAGGGTCACGCTATATAGAGTAGTGCGCGATCTCGGTGCTATGGAAGACCGTGACTGAACACGGTTGTGAATGTCGAATTGAAACAATAATTAGAGACGGTGCTCTCCTGTACATCCACCACCTACATTATGCCTATGCCGACGTGTGACTGGGGGCTCAGTAGCCCGCACTATAAGAGAACTTAATCAATTTGCCAGGAAATACCTGGTTCAAATAACTAGTACTTACCTTCTAACAACGCACTGTCGCACGCGCAAATCTCCAACAAGCTTGTTTTCTCTGCAGGAACAACTATTCAATTGCCTGAGACGTTGCATTGGCGAATTTATCTAGACTTTCAAATGTGTATACAGTACTATTTTACTCTGAATTGCGGTCATAGACGCAGTACATGGAGGCAACCTTGCCAGGATCAGCGAACTCGGCTTTGCAGATTTCGATGGGTGAGCGAGGGAAGGTTGAGAGAGATCTGCCCTCGATGCCGTAGCAGCGGTGTAGCCTCTGACTCTGGATATGAGACGCAGGATGATTGGAGTTGGTGACGGCGTGCGAGAGTATATCTACAGCAAGAAATATCAGTAGCTTACTGCGCTGTGCAGTTAGTCATAGGCCATCCTACATGATGTTGTCGCCGGTTCATGGGGTTTGCACGGCACTGCTTGGTAAAGAGGAGCGCGTGACGCATTCATTGCTGGTATATCTCATCTTCACGATAGACCTCTTTCCACGAGCCTTTGTCCTCATGGACCCTAATGACGCAGCAAAGACAGGGCAAGCTTGCTCACTCTGTACCATGCTTCACACTCACGGTGTCTGAACATTCCATGCAGGAGTCAACGTACACGAGTCACAAGGAGTTTCTTCAACCCCACTGTCACCAACAAATAATATAAAAGCAGACACAGTTTCCTGCATTTATTTCCGCACTATTATGTTTACCGACGCACCAGCCTTTGTCAACATCAACATTATCGATCAGATTTAGTCCAACGCCTTAGTAGTTCTCCGTCAGACACAATGTGCACGATCTATTATATCGAGTTCACCTGTGACTGCAAACGAGCCCAGATGAAGGTCGAATGCGAGAGAGGGAGGAATTGCGGGACGATTACGTGGGTGCTTGATGGGTATGTAAGGAAGCATTGCAGGAATTGTCTTCCAGGGATCGGGGTATAGAAATGAAAGTATTCGACAATCGAACTGGAAGCAAAGGACGGCCCACCAGGACTCTGAAAATAATGGACGGAGGTCGATTCCCAAATGTTGTTTTCTAATGAATCGAAGTCATGGGAGTCCGTAACCAATTGGTTTTCGTAGGGTTGAAGCTGAAACTTTTTGTTGCTAAAGTCTAAATGGAGAGTCTCATCGCACGAGATCCTCTATAATTTTGCGCGCTTCTCACTAACACTTTCGGCGACCTCCTTAAAAACTTCGTAGCAATTCACCTCGGCGTCGAAGGCCAAGAGCCAAGCCTCTCGTGTCAAATGTATCGCTTCTGGATTGTGCTTGACGGTGTCCCAATCTGCTTTGTGCCATTTCTCCCTCGTCTTCACGCCGGTGGCTTGGGCTTTATGTACCCTCTCATACCGGATCTTCTCATAAGCCCTCACTGCCAGCGGGATGTTGTCCTTGCCCGCCAACTCCAAGCAGGCGGCTAACACAACACCATCTTCGATTGATTGACTTGCGCCTTGAATTGATGTGGGCAGGAAAGGATGCGCCGCATCTCCTATTAGAACAATGCGCTCCTTTGGGGACTTGAACGTTGGCAAAGGATCCCGGTAGACGAGTTTGTGGTCGATGAGTCGTCCGTGTTGTGGCGTTGCCTTGACAATCTCTTGAACGATCGGTGCCCATCCTTCCACATATTTGAGACAATCCTCAACCTTGCCTGGAAACTGCCAGCTTTCTTCAATGTTGCCATCATCGACGTGTGTGAACACCCAGTTGAAGTCTTTACCATTCTTCAGCGAGGAAGCCAGAAAATGCAGATCGGGGCCAATCCATCCGCAGTGCGAATCACCCTCTACGAGGTGCTTCAACTTTTCGTTCTTCGCAATGACCTCGCCGGGAAACCAAGATCGGTAAACCGCGTACCCCGAGCTCTTAGGCTTATCATCGAAGCCCAAAACAATCTTTCTGCCTCGCGAACGTACACCTTCGGCGGCTATAACGATATCGGCTGTCATCTTGTTGCCATTCACTACAACACCGGCAAGGTTGTCATCCTCGAAATAATCTGTCACTCTTTGACCCAGTCGAATGTCGATCCCTCTGTCCTTGGCATGCTGATAGATGATACTATAGAGCTCTCCACGATGCCCGTTGATCCTTGGACCCCACGACTTCTCTTTTGCGAACGACTGCCTCGTGATAAACTCGCCTTTCCAGTGATACAAGTCCAGCCAAGATGTCTGACGGGCCACCTTCTGCATGGCTTCGATGACGCCGGGCCATCGTTCGAAGTGCCGCGCTCCATTCGGATCGAAGCTGATAATATCACCAAACCGAGTGATTTCCTCTATATTCGCATGTTTCTCGAGGATGATGGGGGTATGGCCTTTCCGGTCGCATTCGATGGCTGCTGCCACGCCTGCAAAACCGGCGCCGACGATGATGACTTTGATGCCAGTCGGTGGGCGGCGAGGGAACTCAGGCATCTTGTAGGGTCTTCTGTTTCAGATAGAAAAATCAGGTATCTCTGTTGACTCGTAGTCTGTTCAGCTTTGTGGTCTTTGGGTTGTACAAACCGTGGCACAGTGTTGACCTACATTTATCAGCTGCATTAAGCTCGGCTAACTTTGGGAAGGAACAGGCCCCACATCCCCTTGCGGAAGGTCCTCTGCCCCACGAACAGAACCACCTGGGCAGTTGGTGCTTACCACTTCGTGATGCTTCCATTCTTGTTGACTCGAGGGCAACAAGATGTGCTTAGACTGATCTAGGAAACCAACCACGTCAGTTCTTTCACGGAAGGACACATCGAGATTTGAGGATTCTCGCGGCGCAGAACAAACAACGCTCTACACGGATATGTTGCATACTGTAGCACACCAGACACAGTAGCGTTATTTCTCGTCAATGCTATTGTGCATGAGAAATAAGCAGCACGGGATGACACAGGGACGTCCCTCTGTATACATAGTAGTTTTGCCCTATGCGAGAAATAATGTCTATGCTCGCGTGAGATGCATGTGCCATGTGTAAACTTGGTATATTGTGATGCCAGGCATCTCCCTCTCGTGGGAGCAATATCATGGCAAGTTGCGGCAGTCTACATAAACAGGAAGCAAAGACAATGTCGCTCTAGTTGTCTTCTGTCTACAACCCTAACCCAGGTTGGAACACTTAGGTGAATGTAGGCGTTCTCAGGATTACGCTGATCATGACGATAAATTTTCCAACTTCACATTCACCATCTTTCACCAGCGCGATCTTTTTCAAACATCTATTGTGTGCAAAAAAGTGACATCTACAGGCTTATAAGTCGAACTGATTCCGAAATATGCGGATATATTAAGTGCACTACAAGTAGGTTTTGCAGGAGCGCCTTGTCTGCCCACTGCTCACAGTCGCAGATAGAAGAATCACTGACTAGCATTGTCCTTTTACAATATATAATAACAATGTTCGAGTAAAATGTAGACCAAAGAGCTTTTATAGAGGATAATATTTGATCTGGAATAACCACTACTATACGTCATTGAGGTCAATAGACACCCACCGTTGCCGCTATTGTGTTTCACTCCGGACACTGTAGTGACTGATACACAATAGAATCAACGCTCGCTATTGTAGTCAAGCGATAATAGAAAGGCACTGGCACGTTCTACATAAGTACTCTCCTCTGCTGCTTTGCCCATCAAATCTTTTCGTCTCCTCTCCAGCTCTTGCCTCGTGGACACATACAGAAGATTCATCAGACATTGCGACCTGCACCCGCATCGTTTCCAGTACTATAACTACCTGTCCATATACCACGTCCCGTTTTTGCAAACACCTTCGCCTTCCTATCTCCGTTGGGCCTTCTTGTACTCTTTTTCCTCCAACCAACTTCACACAAAAGACACCTTCGAGATGGCGTCCGCGACATATTTCCTTGAACTCCGCGACGTTGCTTCCGAGCTGAAGGGCAAGACGCCCATTGAGCAAGCCTGAATCCTCCAATACGAGCAATACATCCGCAAGAAAGCCCACGACGAATGGCTTGAGGGGAAAATGCGAGAAGCGTACCTGGAGCAACAACGCCGAACTCCGGGAACATAGCTTTGGGCGATGGAGCAGCAGTACCACTCCCGGAACAAGCCCTCCACCACCTCCTCCTTCCTTCCGACCCCTCCACCCTCTCCTCCATACTTTTCTCCTCCTCCACCGACGATGAGCCCGTTGCAGATGCACGTGGCCAAGCTGGAGACCCTCCAGCCATATATGAACCACTTCCTCAACATGGCCTACCATGGCTACAATACCAAGGACGAACCCTCCTTCCTCTCCGCATGCACATCCATCTCCACCATACTCTTCGAAGAGGGGGCCGGCCATGCCCTCCAATCCGTATGCGAATTCCTCACCACCTCCAACCAGGACCTCAACCAGATCACCAATCCGGGCGGTCTTGGGTGGGACTGGGCCATCTACCGCTGGCTGCTCTGCTTCTTGGTGAACCAGGGGCAAAGCCTGCCTGGGGAACTGGCAAGGCTCCGGGAGGCTTTGGGACAGCTTGCTGTCTCCATGGGGAATCCCCTCGAAAGCATTCTCGCTGCTGCCGAGATGCTGGCTGCGAGTGAGAGGCCAGTGGAAAGCGCCCCGGTGCCTCGGGAGTGCAATATTGGGAAGCCGCTGGAGGTGCAGGCTGGACCTGTGCCACTGGTGGTGGACCATGAGCCTCCTAGGGTACCGGTGGCTGCTGCCCACGTAGACAGTGTTCCGTCGTTGGAAGCATCTGGGGAGAAGTGCTCCGGTTCCTCCAAGGGATCAGAAGACGGCGGCCCAGGGTGGGTAGACAAGCTGAGCAAGGAGGAGCTTGAGCGGGTAGAGGAGGAGATGAAGGAGGCTGCGGCCAGACTGGATGAGATTCCGTTCGATCCAGAATTCGACGCCTAGATGGCGGGAGTGAATACTTGGGTTGAGGGTCGGGGAGGGGGTGGAAGGGGCAGTGGAAGTTGGTAGCGAGTAGTATAGAAGTACTGGTCTATTCAAAAAGACTAGTCTACAACATCATTGCATTTCCCTATCTCACCCAACCTTCATGCTGATTCTTGAATCACGAGACTCCATCCACACCCATAACAACATTGCCTTATTCTCACTTATCTTCCATCACCCTTACTGACGCTGCCACCGAACCTGGATCTGATTCGCCGAGATGGTTGTCTTGGAAAACATCTGCCCTGAGGTCCCTTGCAGTTCGTACGCACCAGCCCCCGTGGCATCGACCTTCTTCCCGCTTGATGTAGTAGCACTCACACCACTAAACGTAATCGTCCCATAATTCGGCGTCGTCAAAAGCTCTCCCTCCGTAACCTGGTAACCCTGAACCCACCAATCCGCCGCCTGGGCCTTGAGTTGGGAAGGATCCGCAGTAGCGGGTGCAGCCACTGTTTGCGAGACTCGCTTATTCTGCGTCTTGTTTTCAATGACGACGGTACCGGTGTTGGGGGACGTGAGGGACACGGTCACAGTGATGGAGTCGCTCGCTCGGGCGGGGACTTGGGTTGTTGTGTCGATGGCAGCTTCGGGAAAGAAAGCTGCGAAGGATCCAAGTGTGCGGTTATAGACAATGCCGCCACCGATGACATACTTTTGCTCGAGAGAATCGCCAATGCCGAGCCATATTGAGAGGCGAGAGTTGCCGGTCAGGTTTGGGACGGCGAAGGTGCCGGTTACGGATGTGAACGATTCGCCAGCTGGGGCTTTGAGGACGGCGCCCCCTCTGTTAAGATCGAAGGCTGCATAGGCGGAGGATATGAAGGCAAGGCCTCCGAGGATGGAGTTGAGTTTCATGATGACTGTACTGGAATAGGAGAGTAGGCGGAGAAATTGCTTGAGCCAATAAGAAGAGGATGGATTTCTAGGAAGCGTGAAGCGGCGCGGCTCAACGGATGAGAAAACGCTGTGTGACCGAAGCAAAAGTCGCGGTGAGACAGAGAGAGACTTGAAGCTCCAAGAGATTCTTTAAAAGTATGAGGTCAAGTTACCAAGGAACCGCATGCTCTAGTATTAATTTCAATCTCCTCTACCCGGTTCAACCAGGCTCTGATCCGGATACCGAACCTTCGCGAAGGATAGCCACGAGGTCGCCATGATCCGCGGATATATCGTTGATAGTAGGCCAAGAAGGGTGACTTCTGCCATGATCTTCGTCCCGTTCCGCCATTTCGACTTCGCGTGGAAGTACTAGGCATATTAACAAACTGCCTCTACGGAGACCAAAACAGGCCTACTCGCTTCCAAGACTACTCAGAACACAGAGAAATGGCCGGAAGAGCCAGCATCGTACAGTTTGTGTATGGATGCGGACATTTAATTTGTGGGAAATGGTGGCCCCACGCCTTGGCAGCATGGCAATGAAAAAGTATATGGAATCGGTGTAACCCTACAACGAAAGTCGACCAAACGTCAACCTTGCTGCGACATCCGCTCGTCCTCATATCCGTTGAGCCTCAATATGAATCAGCCAGACAGGTCAGCTGAGGAACCATTGATCGGAGCTCCCCACATAGGAGTGCCGAAAGGAAGACAAGAACATCGATATTGGACTCATATCAAGCCGTGCCATAACTGGTTTCTCGTGAGAATTTTCAACCGAAGTACTTCTCTGATTGGTACCCATGAAGTATCCCACAGGCAGAACGTGGCAAGGCGAGTGCTTGGGACCATAGCGGGAGGCGTGCGGGCCAAAGCCATGTGGAGAAGGGTGGGATACCCACATCAAGTGTTGATACCCAAAGAACAACAACAATGGCATGGATCATCGTCATCGAAAATTGAATCAACCAGTCAAACAGAGCGTCCAGCGTTTGGCCAGGTATGAAGTCCAGCAGTGTAACTCCTGTGCGACCGAAATCCCCCCATCCCGGAATTGGGGTATTCCAGAATCGTGATACGGAGTTGCGATTGTTAACCGCCACGTTCCTTGCCCAGTCCCAATCTAGGAGTTCCTTGTCACGTCGTGGTAGAGCCCGGTTCATGGCCATATAAGGAACTAGGCAACCTTGCGGAGGCTCTGTCATTCTTCTTTCCAACACAGCTGAGAATCCAGAATCCAACAACAACTCGAGTTCCCAGCATGAAGCTGAACTCTGCTGTCGCTGCAGCGCTCCTTGCGCCTGGCAATGTCGTCGCATTGTTGAGGTTCCCATGTGCCCAGCTCGTTATTGATCGCATTGACCCTCTGGTCAACCCCGGACAGGCTCCTTCTCCCCATCTGCACCAGATCGTCGGTGGTGTACGTTTGCCCTTCATCTCTGGGAGTCTTAATGTTGCTGATGTTTGGTAGAACTCATTGAACGTCACGATGGACCCAGCCAAGGACATGCCAGGAGAGTCAACGTGCACATCATGCCAGTTCAGCGAGGACTTCTCAAACTACTGGACCGCGACTCTGTAAGAAACTACAGCATCTCCGATTTGAACTTGTTACTTACTTTGTCTTAGTTACTTCAAGGCAAAGAACGGCACCTACAAGCGTGTTCCCCAGCTTCCCAACTCGGGCTTCAATGGTGTGAACGGAGGAATGACAGTCTACTATATGCAGGACGGTTAGTGCGCTTTCTGAAGATAACGGAGCGTAGTACTAACAACAAAGGCCTTTACAACTTCCAGCAGACATCTAAGGTTACCGCCTTCAAGCCCGTAAGTGCTCTCTTGAAAGAAGAAAGCGGAACCACACTACTGACGCTCACAGGGGTTCCGCATGTACATTGGCGATGTCAACGCCCGGACAAAGGAGCAGGCCGAGAGATACCGACAGCTCACATTCACCTGCCTGCAGACCATCAACACGCGCGACCCTCAGACGCTCGACTTCCCCGACAAGCCTTGCCCTGCTGGCATCATGACCGCCGTGCGCTTCCCTACGTATGTGTCAACCCTATTTCCGATCCATCTCTTTCTGAACATTCTTACTGACACCTCTTACAGGTGCTGGGATGGCAAGAATCTGGATTCGCCCAACCACATGGACCACATGGCGTACCCGGAGTTCGGCACCTTTGAGTCTGGAGGTCCCTGCCCTGCCTCGCACCCCGTTCGCGTTCCTCAACTCTTCTATGAAGTCATATGGGACACGCGCCAGTTCAACAACCCAGCCGACTGGCCCGATGATGGCTCCCAGCCGTTCGTGTGGAGCTTTGGTGACGGGTAGGCATCTCGCCTTGACTGACAGTATGTGTCAAGCTGACAAAGGCCCCAAGCACCGGATATGCCAACCACGGTGACTATCTTTTTGGCTGGCAAGGCGACGCGCTCCAGCGTGCCATGGACTCTCCTTGCTACCAGAACTGCCCCACTCTTAAGTCGCAGAATGCGGCCGCAATGAACAAGTGCACTATCAAGCCCAAGGTTAACGAGGACATTGACTCATGTAGGTAGCTTCTATTGCTTACCCTTCACATGTGCTAACTCTTCGTCCAGGGGTCAAGACCCTTCCGGGCGGTCACGTCGCCAACTATGTTAAGAAGCGGTGGGAGTAATTCATTGACAGTAAGCGGCCATAACAGCCGCGCCTGCAATAATTTGCCAGTCCAGACAGAGCGGTGAATTCAGCCATGGATTTCGACTGTTGTTGAAGTGGCAACTAATAGTGTGCGTCGTCTGGTTAAGGCGGAGATAGGATAGACTGTAGTCCATATATAATTTCAAGTCTTCGGCCGTTGCTTGATTGCGATATGTCCGCTCCATTTCCGCTCGTGCATAACCTACATGCCCTTCACGAAGAGCACAAGGTCAACCAACGCTCTTCCGATTAGGAGACAGCTCCATGCTGTGGAGCACGGTATGCTGTATATCTTAGACAAGTCCTGGCGTTGATTTTGCTTTCATCGCGCTAAATGATTGGTTCGCCGTTCTCCACAACGTAGGCAGCGCACCGGAACGGAGTCTGGCAAGACGCAAATCGGGTGATCAAGAACTCCAGCCAAACCGGCGTCTGCAACGATGTACCATTCCGTACTTCATTCCGTACTTCTCGTGATGTCGGAGTCACAGGACCATTGACGACATCTTCAGAAGGCGGAGGGTAACCCAGACCACTTGGTGACAACGGCTAAGGGAACTGTCCGAACTCACGAAGACAGTGGCGTCCCGTGACCTGTTGTTTTGAGCTGCGAATGGTATTAGCGGACTATCGGGGATAGCGAAAACATAGAAGACCTACTGCGCGTGGATCTTGAGAGCAGGAACGCTAGGCGCTATAAGAGCTTACATAGTACTGTTGCTCATTAGAGATGCAATAGGAGGAGAACCGGACAACAGTACATACCGTCAACACTGACTCCTGCTCCCCATTATCAGTTGGTAGGTAGACGTAGAGAATTAGTGCAAACTCGTGGCAAAAGCCTGTGTGTTTGTCAGAATACTTCAGGTAAAATGTACCTGGGCGCTGGCCTTCAAAGAATCGACAACAAAAGGGGCACCTCGAGGGAGCACGTACATGCAACTACTCTCCCACCAAGTCTCCCCACGCTCATGACTTTCCCCCAGTCGCGAGCATCAATGCGAACTGTTGCCCAGCCCTCCTCGCTTCGCCCGTCGGCGCTTCCCAGTTGCTTCATCTTTGTGCTAGGGTGGTCAGCTATGTCCATGGTTATCTGTGATGGATCCAATTCCGGGTTGCTGAGATCCGTCCATAGGGAGGATATGCTCATGGCATCGGTCTTGATGCTTAGCTTGAGGCACCCATGCATGTTTGCTGACAACTCCAATCGCGTGCGCGGCGCAGCCGACCCATTTCCAGACTTCCCAATCAGTGATAGCTTTGTGAAGCGGTCACTGATGCTCTTTAATTGCAACAGGGGTGGCAGCAGAATGTGAACGTCCGGCTCACGACACTGGGGTTCGTGCAGTCCGGCGACCACGTCCGGTGCGAGCACCCTCACTGGCACCTCTTGTGTAATGATCGTCTCGCGGCTGTTTCCTCCGAGCTGTTGCTCGAATGGTGCATCAAAACCGTCATCATTGTTTGTTGGGGCGGTCGGGAACCCGGCGTGGGAGCTTGAGGATGTTGTCACAATGGTCAGAGCCAGCAGTGGCACGTTGTCTTTCTTGGTGAGGCGGATCTGGGCCGACGAGGCATTCCAAGCCGTTTTGAGCGCCCTGTTCAGAAGGACGAGAGGGACTTCGAGATTGATGACGTTGTTCGCGGCCGATTGTACTGTGTAGGTGTCGAAGATGCTGTCCTGCCGAAACCATTAGGCCTGCCACGATGGACGAGGCGTGCGCTTACGATAGACACAACTCTGCACTATACGTAAGTCGACGATATAGTACCACAGAGCTAGCGACACTCACGCCCACACTTGTGTACCTTGTTCTGGGATGACAGTGAAGTGTACATGCTCGGCATCGAGCTTCACCCACGCCAGCGGTCCCAGCGAGTTGAACGACGCGGTGAGCTCTGTGCGGAATTAGATCATAAATAGCATATGACAATTTGTGCACGTACTCGTGAAGGTGTTGGTGTTCTGTATAGACGCCTTAAAACGCATCGTTACGCGTTCGGAGGTTGAATGGGAGGTTCCATGCAGACGCGTCGTGGTGTAGGAAGGTGGTCCGTGCTCAAGCTTGCTTGCCCAATCCAAATTCAACATCATACGTGCGTTCATGAACCACTCACTACTCTTCCTCCGAACCCATCATTCCCGGACTTATTTTCTGTTCTATAAGATCAGAAAGATTGAGAAACAACCAGCTGGTTGGTTCTAGTAGGCCCCCCGTGGCTTGGAGCAAGAAGCCGCCATTGTGATTTCCCTTTAATCAAATGGTGGCTGACCAGTCGCGGTCCGATCCGCAGCTCTCTGCAACTGTAATTTGCTCCAGGAACGCTGGTCATGTGGTATAAGCGTCATCTTGTCAAAGAATTGAAACTTTATGTATCACCGGGGAAGGTTCCGCCACCCGCCGCCTCAGTCCTTGTAGAAGCAAAGCAAGCGTTGATGTGCGCGCTGATCACCCAACTGTGATCACGTTACCGTGAGTTTGGAGCTCCAAGTTGGCTGACTGGCTTACTGGGGGTGAAGTATCATCATTGACTGATTGCAACTGGGGGTCATTCAAAGGTTCGGTGCATTCGGGACCCTCGGCTTTGCCCCCTCAGAACGGGTCACCGTGAACACCGTGCCGGTGCAATGATGAATCTAAGTAAAAAGATTCCATGGCTTCCTTGTTGGGTAGTTTCGTCTTTTCGCATCGCAGGCATCATTCTTGCCCTGCATGGCCTTCGTACCAGAAATACAGCAATTGCCAGCATCAACTTACACTATGCACCCATCGACTCTTGATTGCATCATCTTTTGCTCACGCAATGTCCACTGGAGGAGATAAGAAATCACGTAGTAGACCCGCAGGACTCCAACTCTACAATAGCCCGAGAAGTTTCTGATAACACGGACAACACGTCTTTAAAGGGGTTGAATAGCTTCTCTCGGGTAAGACATGTGAGTTCAAGGTCGGTGGATTAGAGGTTGGACAGCTGCGCACCTTGCCCCTTTATTTGATTTGCTATATGCACAATGGTTTGTGAATATCATCCAAGTAGTTTCTTTACATCTTAGACCGTGTATAGTCACCGAAATGGCTGCATAGACTAGAGATCTGAATAAGTCTTCGTCAGACGCTTTCAGAATACCGACGTGTAACTTGCCAGATCCTTGACCTATGTTAAGTGGGAATGTTCATCTCAATAAGTATACATAACCATGTCACTCGTGCTGCACTTATTCAAAGGATTTTGCTACCCGCCATATGGCATGTCAATAAATAGGTAGTACATTAGAGGTTGGTATGTAGCTGTGTCTGTCGTCAATGACACTAGAGGTCCAGTCTATCACTGTGCCGGTGACAAATTGTGAATATTTGACTCTTCGTGACTCAAGAAGCACTCCATGCACTGAGCAACAACCGCAAGTTTTGAGAATGACTCGAGAGAACATAATCTGGGTCCGACGGCTCAAAGTATAAATTCTGCCATTTCGCACGCACTTCACCTCTATAACACCAATCAGCTTCTTATCCATACTAGTTCGTTTGACTTTTTATCACCTCCACGATCCATTAACAATGTCCAAGTACCTAACTGAATCCGATTTCTCAACTGATGAGGAGTTCACTGCGTATATGAAGCGAGAAGGCTACAATACGCATCTAGATTTTGAGCCGGAACCTCCCACGTGCCCTCCACCACGCTCTCACCCTGATCCGGCTATAATGGCATCGGCTGGGAAGAATGCTGCCGAATTGTTACGTTCCCCAGACTACACTCCAACTGGTCCTGCGAAACGGCCTCCAACCGACCTAAAGTTATGCAAATGTGTGAAGATTTCCAGAAACATCTGAGGGTTGTGGAGAAATGGCTCGAAAAGAAGATTACCAAAGACAATAGAAAGAGCTTGCTCAAGGAAAAGGGTGCAGACCTAGATCACTTGGAGACCCTCGAGAGAAACGCGATGGAGGCATTGGAGAATGCTAGAAGGGAGTTTGATAAGTTCGATGATAGTCAAATTCGTACGACGAAGAAGGGACTTCATAAATATAAAGTGGATGATATCAGGAAGGAGTCTGAAACCAGGAGGGACGCCATTAAACGGAAGTTGCAAAAGCTTGAAGAGTTTAGGAAAAGGTCCCCATCCTGAACAAAGATGAATAATATAGTGTCCGGAAGATCTCATGGCGCAAAAGGAAGTCTGGACATGTTCTAGACCAATAGTCGACTACAAGGTCAAACCGGGGGATGGTATCTTCTCATCAACAGGAGAAGCCAATTTGTGCACGGGAGAAATTTGGTGTCAATGGAGGTTACCTGGGCTCTGGATTTATAGAAGGAGATAAGGTCTCTGTTAATGTTTAATGCTGGGTTAGATCGGAATCTTTAAAGGGTTTTTGGGTGTATTTGAGCTTGAATAGTAAGGACTATGTTGTTCGTGTCTGTTTCTTGTATCATTCTCCAGGGTCTAATACACGGTGATTCTAAACAGGCGGGTAACTCGGATGTTGGTACGTCGTCATCTACAAATTGGTACATTAAATCTTGCGAATTCATTTAAAGTAAGATCCGATAGCAACGTACGAGATATACCAGGTTTCCATACTCCGCATTGCCGCTGCCGCCACGTTCACAATGTCACGAATGACATGCAGAGAAAAAGCAAGCATCTCTTCAGACACGATGTGCATTCAGTTAGTAATGTGTTTTCTATTTGGCGATTAATGACCTTGGTGGACGTTCTCACGGCCTCATTTCGGAACATCTGACTGAATCAGTTACTGATAGTCCAGCTAGATGGGACAAACTTCGAGAGGATGACTTTGGGACCTCTCCCACGAGACCTTAGAGTAAACAACCAATCAAAAATATAAATACTTGACCCAGCATTAAGCTGGGAGTTCATCATACCAAAGATCTCACCTTCAACAGAGGACGCTTCGGTTTCACTTACATTCCATTTACGCATTTAGTCAATGTCGAACAGGGGAGGCAGGTGAGGCAGGGGAGGCAGAGGAGGGCAGCCCACAGCAGGTCCATCTCGACCTGGTCCAGCTCCGGGATGAGGGCGGGGGAGCAACGCTGCAGGATCCACACCACCGGCAACCAACAATCCTTCAGTCCCCAGAACGTTCGCACAATTGCAGAGAGATTCCCAGGTATACAATCTCCAGTTCGAATTACTTGTGGAGAGAGTAGACCACTGGCTCAACACTACAAACACTGAAGGTAACGCAACGGATCTGCTGAGACAAGGAGAAGATTACCGTCGAAGGCTTGATGACATCTGGAGAAGGGCCGAATCACCGCGTGATGAAGCACTGGATATGATCGAACGTCTGTCCCCACCTCAGAGGCAAATAGTTGAAGGTCCTTGGCGCCTGGAGATCGACCGAAGGAATGAAGAGTTTGACAGAGTGAGAGGTGCTCTGCAAGCTCGAATTACGGAGCTAGAACAAATGGTTGGAAACTAGAGAAGGACAACTCACAGGACAGTAATCACCTTTATCGGATGGAAAATGAAGGTTTCTTTCCAGCGATAGCTGATTCAGACGTCTTTTGGTCTTTGTCATAAATGGCCTGAGGCAACGTCATTGGCTGCAATGAATATTCGGGGCATCTTTATTTGAGGTTTCTCCAGGAATTGGCCTGTTGCTTGAGTAAGATAGTCTTTCCTTTCCTACTTGTGCAGATGGCATGTTCAACTTGGTTACTGTACTTTGTTTCCTTCTCGTGTAGCAGGATTTTCTTTCTTTTTCAAATACTTTTCATTTTGCACCGTTTCTATTTCTGACGGGTGGGATTATCTGCTTCTGAATATGGTGTCACTTCGCGATAGAATGTTATAAGAATGATGCTCCAATTCATACTTATGAGCCAGATTGGATCGTGCTATGCCATGATTTCGGAACGTATACTACTGCATGAGAGTAGTACAGTGTATGATAGAGTTGAAGGAGCAATTTTACAACGGAGAATTATACACCTGCTGTGAAAGCGTACTGCCTCCTTCATGCTGCCTTCCCCTAAGCGATACGAACTCGAACAGACCTTGATGTGAACTTATCGGCTCCTCACCGAAGGTCATATACACTGCCTCCATCAACTTCACCGCAGCCCAATTTTGTGTTCTTTAATCCGTCAGCACAGATCCACATCGTCGTCTCGTTCAGCCTTACCATCGCACATCATTCCCCCCCAAATCTCTCGAGCCACAGTCAAGCCTTGAGAGTTAGTGCCATGCAAGGTCATAATTCTCCGTAGGTGTCAGAGCGGCGCAGCACCAGTTGCCCCCCAGGTATCTAGGGTCTCTGCCTAATCTTACAGGTGCGCCCTTCACAGGTGCGCCCTTTCAGTCTACGACGTCGCATTGGTACCACTTACAGGTAAGGTAGCCGTCGCCACAGCTGACGCCCAGGCGCAGAAGCACAGGGCTACAGACCTACTAAGATGCCTGTTGTTAGACAAGCGTCTATCTTCCGCAAAATCACGCCGTCATCTAGCCTAGTCCTGGCGCAAGCTATAAGCCCCGTATTGCTCCTAGTCCTAGGGATTCAAAAAGTTAGCCGCGCACACAGAGCCGAACAATCGGTCTCTTTCGCAGTTGCTGAGAAGAATAACTCTCTTAGTGCAACAGTATTCCCCAACTCTGGACAACGGAGACATGTCGTGCATGACGGGGAGTTGTGGTTATGGCGAGGCCGAGCCACCCTGGGGCAGATTCCGGTACCACGGACAGAGCGCTAACAGAAGCAGGGTTGGAATTGTTCCTGGTGAACATGTGTTCTCCGGGAACACAACGTCGCGCGTTTCCTTCCACCGAGGCACGATTAGCCGTATGCAAGTTGCCTTGGACTAGAACCCAGGCAGATTTAATCGGTGTATTTTGTTCGTATGATAGTGAATGCACGTTCCACTTTCAGGATCACTGAACAACATTCTCTCGTGGCACTGGACTGAGACATGTCGCATCTCGGTATCTGGAGAACGTTCTAAGCAGCGGGAGCGGGAAGGAGCGCGAAGGTGATGACCCGTTGGGGGAGTATCCGAGTGTTTCTGGCTGCAATGGGACGGCAGGCCGCCTTTTTCCTGTTCCCAAGTCAATTAGATCCAGGAATAACGAAGCAGTTTGTCGCAACCTGTCCCTACCCCCCACCAACGCAGATCTCTTGCCTTCACTCATCCTTTCCCAGTCACAAGAGCGATCATCTCTCACCAAGCGAGCCCGAAATAGCCTCCATCCTCTCCATCCTCTCATCCACACCACTCATTCATGTGAAACAAATATAGCACTTTTTGACGCAACCCTGGGAAAAGACTCGTTTCCTAATCTGGCAAATGGCTGAGAAGAGACGTCTGGCGCATCTGGGAACAAGTGAGGTCAGCCCTACGGCAGGGGCGTGCCCCTGTCATCCGCGTTTAGCGCGCTTCGCCTATCGAATCGGGAGATCGACATGCTATTTTTAGGCATCCGGTGAATCGGTGCGTCGCGTGGCAGCCGGATGCGAGCGCCTCGTGGAGACCTTGTACTTGTAAGAGAAGGAAGGAGGGACGAGTTCCTGGTCGCTGGGTATGTAGGGCTGAGAATGCAGCTGTAATTAAAGGGGTTATATGAGTGAGTGACGGAGGTGGTGCTATGTGCCTTTGTCTTGTCTGGAGTACATCGAAGGACCGTACCTATCTATCCTCAAATTGAGAGGACCGTCAATACATGCCGTGGATATCAGAGATTTCGCAGTGCTTCATAGATCAGCGTAGCGCAAATCGCTATGGATTTCCAGAGCTGGGTAGTAATGCGAGAGCTGTGTCCCACCCTCGAGTCTCCGTTTCACAAGGCTATGTTGCACTCTTTGCCATGTTCGCATACTCGAGCAGAAACCATTTCAGCTATAGCAAGTGCTCTCTTTTCGTGATTGGCGGGAATGGCTTCTGCTCATTTCTTTTCCTGTGCACAAAATGCAACTCTGCAGCCCTATCCGCACCCGTGACCTACTCTTCCTTTGCTGTGTACCTATCCAAAGATAGAACAAAGGGGGCCAGGGTCAGAGCAATACCAAGAGACGCAGGCAACATGTGTTTCCGCCATCAGGTCCAAACCGTCGGGACCCGCTCCACAAGATTGACGAATTATTGGGCCATTCTACCCAATACTCTTGTAGTCTTCAATCCCAAAAGATTCAAATGTTTAGTGAAATTGCTGCCGAACTGGGTGGGTCGCACAAACCAGCGACCCGAGCCTGAGGAGACCCGAGACGTGACGAGGGAGTAAGCTGGGTATTCTGGAAAGATCTGATGTGCATCCCCGCCACGAGCCTCTGAGGCTTTGCTCCCTTCTCTGGGTACGCGGACGGGCATTATGTGAGAATGCTCCGACTCCAGTTGGGCGAACGGGCCAGTGGTTTGGTGCAGGCTTCAAAGGTGTAGGGGAATTAATAATGCGGGAATCATAGGATCTGCCACTTTGGATAAGGGGCCTTTTGGGGCGATGAGGGCTTTTGTAAGATTTCTGATGATGACAAATCGCCTTGGAAGTCCATGGAGTGGGATTCATCGTGCAGTCTGGGAATAGTTGAGAGATGGGATGGAAGGGAGTGGTCTGTGCGCGAGAACGGGTTACCTGGTAAGATTTGGCAAACAGGCCGAACTCCTCTCCATCCATCTTCGCCCCCGCCCTTCTCGCCCTTCTGCTGTGCAGTCCTGCACTTCGATTACGGAATTTCGTTGAAAGATCGGAGTACAGCACAGTATTTGCCTGCCTGTCACCGGTGAAAGATGCAACATGGAGGCAAGCCGAGACGATGCTACGTTTACTGTCCAGTGTTCAGCGCAAATGCTACGATATGAAGCTGCGGACCAATGCAGATGCGATAAATACGGGAGAATACAGCGAGCGTTACGATCCGTCCATAGCCTAGCTACCAGCAGCATAAACCATTCCAAAGCTGGACTTAGCTGGTTGCATGCTTGCCCGAATGTACATTGACAGCTGAAAGTTGCGGGATGTGCCCACAAAGCGCATGGGGAGCTAATCGGGACCTAGCCTGCGGCTCCAACGAGCTCATAGTCGCCTCCGCAACATGCCCATGCTGCAGGTTCATGGTTCTCACCAAGAGGGCGGGTTCAACGGCCTTGCTTTAAGGCTGGGGTGTGAGGTCCTGGAAGGTCGCTCCAGATGAATTTACATCTGATTGGGTTCAAAACCATGAGTGGAAGGGCCTCGTATTGCACCGCCATGTTATGTATCCATCTTGTGTTACAGGTCCGTTCGGAAGACCCTGTGGCATCCGTGATTCGCCGATCTTGAGAGAAGCGCAGCATCTGAGTTTCTTGGGAAGGTCAATAATCCTTGGGTATTGGCTCATTGGTATACTGGATAGCATCAGGCATGCTGCGAGTTGCTACCGGCTTCATTAGCCCGTCCTATTCCACTTCCCCGCCCTGGAGTCACAACGCAGCCCTCGCCGACCAGACCGCGTTTTATGCATTTCCTCGCCGTCTTGGATACCATCTGTGAAACTCCCGACAGTTGCTTCGAAGAACTGCAGAGTCGCATCCCACAATCCGACGGACGACCAACGGCGCGCCCGCCGGCACGGAGTGCGCGGAACCAACAGGATGAGAAAGCGTTCGGCAATCATAAGGCACTAGGGACTGCGGAACCAGACTAACGGCACGCACGATCTTGGAGCCCTATTGCCAGGTTCTCTGCTGGATTTGGAACGGGATGATGTTGCTGTATGATGACTGTATTAGCGATGGCCAATAGGCGCGAGAGAAACCGTTGTCTTTCTTTCCCCTGCTGGGCACTGAGAGTGAATTCCCAAGGGTTGCGTGTATCCCGCAAGGCAGCGACACAAATCTGTGCCTAGGAGGAGACAAACCGAATATTACGTCCAACTGACCGAGTCAGAGTATATTGGAACGAGGTCAAGTACGGAGAAAGTGTGTTGGCCCGTATCCGTACCTCTACCGTTCGCGAATTGCTTTTCTTTTCAAGACTTGACGGGGCAATAAGATAGGCATACTGGCTGGGGAGTACTCCCTACAACATTGCCCAGCCACATCATTTCTACGAAAGCGTCCTCATATAACCTTTCGTCAGCAACTTTCCCTCGTCCGCTACCCATCTCTCACTGGCGGTCCGTGCGCACTGCGGCTCTCACTGCCACGCAGCTCCACGCGCGGGTACACAACGCCCACCAGTCCCACCCTCGCACGATGCCTATTCCTGTCCTTCACCCCCCACTTCCCGACCACGCGCAGTGCCTGCAGCCGTCGGGGCGGGAGCAGGGTCTACAATCTGCGTCATCCACACTACACTAATCCCCGTCTCACATCGCCATCCACCGTCTATTGCCAGTCCACTCTTGCCAGAGCCGAGCGTGGCGGCTCTGCCACGAGAGCCATGCCACCCCTCGGAGCGGCGCCCTGGACCCTGGCGTAGATGTTGCCCAGGTGTGTATGCGCACTGGTACTGGCTTCCGTGGTTCCCGGGGGTCTTCGTTATAAAAGGCGACGACTGCCTGGTAGGCACGGGTTTGGGTCCACCACAGCACAGCACACACATACGCCTGCACAGTGTTACGGAACTCCGAACAGTCATTTGACGCCTGACTCTCGCTATTATTCGCCGTGGTTTATTGTTCTCTTTCCTGTAAAGACGGTTTCTTATTTTATAAAAGTCTCTTTGCCGTCTCGTCTTCTTCTTGTTCCTCTTTCTTCCGTTTGAGTCAAGGTCGAAGTCACTCTTGTTCAGTCATCCGTCTTACACATACTCAAACCAGTTTCTACACCTTTCTGTCAAGGTCTGCTGCCTGATTTCAAAGCTGCAAGTCGACTCATCGTCTTCTACCCTTTTCGACTTTCGTCATCTCCTCTCTCAAACATCATCATCGTCTTACCGAGTCATTATTCTCCAAATGGGACGTGACGGCTACAACTAAGTTCAGCGCTCGACACTCACTATCAACAACATCAAACCGAGACCCACGGAAACAATACATATCAACAACCACAACGACGATGTTCACCATGGGACGCGGAGGTTATAACTAAACACTGCGATTCCTCCGCAACCGCATCGCAAGCATTCCAGAAGAGCACTGCCACAGGACTCTTCAAACGCCACCACCAACAACAATCCATCACCACACAACGACACTGCAGCCGCACCTGAATACCTGGACACTTCAACACAACCATCATGTCAAACACACCGCAACATCAAAGCAGCCAACCGACCTCACATTCACCTGCACCCAAAGCCCGTCGCAAGAAATGGGTCGAGCGATGGCGACTTCCCGGTCCCTAGCTCTCCGGTCTCCCATGAGACACTTCTCGGCTCAACACATTCAACACTGTATATAAACCACCCTGTATAGCACCAACCTCTCCTACGTTTCTGCTTCGGCATCTTTCATCCTTGGTACTTCAGCAAGCGAGTGCGTTAACGGTTCGGGTCCCAGTTTCTGGATTTCTTACATTCACGGATTATGGAAATGGGACAGGGCACGGATTTTCGGCATAGAGTTCACTTGTTTCCCCTCACGCTTTGCCTCTTTTCCACTTCCACTTCTTATTCCCCTCTTTTCATTTTCAGAGTTATAGATCTAGACGCGCGGGCCATTGCTCTTCACTGAGCCACGATTACGAACCTTTATAGACTGGGCATGGATTGGGACATGTACATGAACGGCATGGAAACGGCATGGGAACGGCATTCGGTATGGGACAGGACATTGGGACAGGTGTGTCCTTGGCGCTTTTATCTCCTCAACCTTTCTCAATTTGATTCTGAATCTTGAATGATTCTTTCATATTGTTCTCGAAGCGATTTCACTCCGCCTGTAGTTGTAATCGTACAGATGCAGCGTTTGAATAGCGATACCCTGCAGAATCCCACTATATTCCAAGGAGCAAGTCATTCGCAACAACCAGATCCTTTCAACCTTCGTGGCGCTCTTTGCCAACACCTTGATGTCTTTCACCAACTCCTCCATCTTTTGACTCGCAAAACTTTATTTCCCCACACAGAACCTAGATCGTAGCACTCGTCAGCACCGTCGCAGACTGAAACGCCAGAAACAACCACAAGGAGGGAATGGTGGCAGCGGCTCTGCACAGCGGCAAGTGGGACCCCGTAGGGCGCGCACCTCCACCCGCGTCAGCGCCCGCTGCAGCGAAAAATGGTCACGGGGCACTGTGGGAACAGTTCAACTCGCGCCCGCATGACAGCACTGTGCCACAGTCAAGCAGATGCTCCAACCCCACAAACGCCTGCGGGAGCGTTGCGGCACGGGTAGGTTGCCGCAATGTGCGGGTTCGTAAGGCAGCCACAAAGCCGTTATAGCATCGTGAAAATGAGTGAGGAAAGCAGGGTATACGCGGGGAGACAGGGGGCCAATTCGTGCCGGATGCGCTTGCTAGGAAGAGATGGGAAGGGGAATGGCAAACTCACTTTTCGAAGACAACGCCCAAGACTTCCTCCACATCGCCGCCTTCGCCACGGCCCGTTATCCGAGCAAGGCTCTCTGCTGCCAAGCGGAGTGATTCGGCTGCCACAACAATGTCTATTCCGTACCCACCGTGGGTATCTTCGAGCGGTCGGGACAACTCGAATTCCGGAGAGCCAACAGCGGACGGTGCTGTCGCTTCAGTTTCCACGTCGCTCTGAACGGCAGTCAGAAAAGAGTCCAGATGGGAAGCGCATTCGGTAAGAAGTACGCGCTGGCGCTCGGTGGCACCTAGAGACTCCTGCCAGATGAATGGGTCGGGTTCGGAATCGGGAACCAGTGCAGTTGTCATGTCCTTGAAGGTGTCCAGTAGCCCCTGAAGAAAGCTCTTTATGTTTCCCGAGTCCCCGGCATCGGTGGTAGCAGTGGAAGATCCCAGATCTCCTTTGCATGAGACAAAGAATATGCGTTCCGGTGAAACATGGAGCGCATTCTGTATCTTGTCTCTCCACTCCGAGAATGCTGCAGGGTCGACCAACTTGTCCATTTTGTTGACGGCGACTACCACATTGATACCTAGCTCAACGCACCGTTTCGCCGTTTCCGTGACTTCGCAATCAAGTTCGGTTGTACCATCGTGGACGACAATCACGACATCCGACTCGAGGGCTCGTTTTTTCGCACGCTTAATCCCTTCCTGTTCCACCGCGCCAACAATGTCCGGACTGATTAGGCCAGCTCGCCTTAATCCTGCCATGTCGCCAATCTTCACAAGCCATCCTCCAAGATCAACACCCACTTCGACAATGTCTCTCGTTGTTCCGGCTTCCTGGGATACGATCGCCGCGTCCCTACCCACAATCCGATTGAGTAGACTGCTCTTCCCTGCATTCGGAGCTCCAAGCAGAGCGACGCTGATTCCGCTGCGCAACAACTCTCCTCGCATAGCATTCGCGATATGGGCTTCGATTTGGCTGTGAAGTTGTCGAACTTGCCTAGAAACCGACCTGCATAAAAATGCCGGCGACTCGTGAAAATGCTGATCTTCGGAGAAGTCGATGAGGGCTTCCAGCTCGCCGCGTGCCTGGAGCAATAAGCTGCGCCAATGTTCATATCGGGCTGCTAGAGACGATGTTGTTCCTCGGACGGATAATTTACGCTGCTGCTCCGTAGATGCGGAGAGGGTCTCCCCAAGTGCTTCAATCTGAGGCAGGTCCATTCGATTGTTCGCGAACGCCCGCCGTGTAAACTCTCCCGGCTCAGCATACCGAATGCGATGGCGCGAACCTGGTGTGGCGCACTTAGGAATCGCAGCCAGTACTGCGCGCACTATGGCGGGCCCGCCATGGACGTGTAACTCCAGAACATCCTCGCCGGTGACGGTACCAGGGGCAGGGAAATGAAGTACTAAGGCGCCGGAGTCGAGCAAAGTCGAAGGCGAAGGCGCCTCGTGTGGAGTATAGAGCTTCCGTAGGGTGGCATAGCGAGGTTTCGGAAACGAAGTCCCAGGACAGAGACCTTCGTATATCTATTTGGAATTAGCTGGATAGCGCACTGAAGTAGCTTGTACAAACCTGTCTACACGCCGGCCCAGAAACGCGAATTACAGCTATAGCTGCCTTCCCGGACGCAGTGGACAGAGCATATATGGTCGTATCATCGTGGCTCGAAGAAGCAAGGTGGTACAAATGCCTTCGGTTTCTGGTCAACGGCCTCCGATCGTCACTGAGAGCTGCTCCATGGTAGAGAAGAGCACAATCTCGCCGAATCTGTGCTGGGCTAACACCATTGATGCTGAGGAGTCTGGGTGAAGCAGTGCATATCCTTCTCAGCGACGAAACGAGCGCTCTCATTCCGAGAGCGACAATAGAACAATTGCATAATGAATGATGGGGGTTAGCGATAAGTGGAAGGTCTTGTTTCCAAATCACCGAGACGAAATCTTGGCGCTTGGCGCGCTAGTGCTTCCGCAAAAAAAGTTCCCGCCCACCAAACACCATACAGAGATCGACAGCAATCGGAGGCCGCTCAGTACGCCTTTACACAGCCAGTGTCCGGGAGCCATCTTCACACCTCCGCATAACCACGGCTGTGAATATTGAGGGACCCTCTCGCCCTAAGTCGTCCCTGTACTCTCCTGCCTGAGTCCGCCTCACATCCAGAGCGAACGTTATCTCGCTGTTTTCGCCTTCGCCACTACCCAAATCATATCTCACATACTGCAGCCAATATGGCGTCAGGTGCGCATTCTGTCGCGGGTTTATTGCTGCAAAACTGACTGTGTCTCAGATGACCTCGTTTGGTCGATTATCGGCACCGATTTCTGTAGTTACAAGCTGAAGACGAGAAAAGACCAGACTTTTTGCAGGAATGAGTACGTCCACACCTTTGATCTTTGGCGTCGCCCCTCACACTCTTTTTCTCACTATCTGCCCTTTTCTAACTATCTTTGCAGGTATAACGTCACTGGGCTCTGCACTCGGCAAGCCTGTCCATTAGCCAACTCCCGTTATGCGACTATCCGGCCAGATCCCGCCACCGGCACCCTATACCTCTACATCAAGGCCATCGAGCGCTCACATCTGCCCAACAAGTGGTGGGAGAAGATAAAGCTCAGTGGGAACTATACGAAGGCATTGGAGCAGGTTGATCAGCACCTGCAGTACTATCCAAAGTTCTTGGTACACAAATCGAAACAACGTCTTACGAGACTTACCCAGGTTGCCATCAGGATCAAGAAACTCGCCAAAGAGGAGGAAAGGCTAGGAGAGCGCCTGGTTCCCAGGCTCGCGCCCAAGGTTCGGAGAAGGGAAGAAGGTCGCGAGAGGAAAGCGCTAGCTGCGGCCAAGGTTGAAAGAGCCATCGAGAGAGTACTCATTGATCGCTTGAGAAGTGGGGCCTATGGCGACCGGCCGCTCAATGTCGAACCCGAAGTCTGGAAACGTGTTCTAAGGGGCCTGGAAAAGGAAGGAGAGGCTGTCCGTGACGAAGATCTTGATGAAGGTATCGAGGAGGAGAACGAATATGAACAGGAGGAGGGAGTTGGTGATGTGGAGTATGTCAGCGACATTGAGGAGTCAGATGACGAACTCGAAGACTTTGAGGATTGGGTCGGGGGCGAGAGCCCTGACGAAGAAGAAGATGAGGATGAAGATGAGGGTCAGGACGAGGACGAAGAAGCGGAAGCAAGCGCTAGCGGAGAGGAGGAGGAGGGCAGCTCGGGCGAGGATGATATTGCTGCGCTCAAAAAGAAACTCGACAGTCTCAAGCGCAAACGGCCGACGGGACCGCCGCCGATGCCGAAGAAGAAGCCCACGAAGAGAGATTCCAAGGGTCCGAAACGGGAAATCGAGTACGAAATGGAGAGGGAGCCGCAAGCTCGCGAGCTCCTCCGTTCATGATCATTTGGCACTGGTTTTCATTCGCTTTCCGGTGTTCATGGTGTCGCAAGGAAAACGTCGATGTGGGTTTATGTTGTTCTATGGGAGACATTTTCCGGCGAAAGGCCATGTCCAATAAGACATGTTATGTCGCAGCTACCTAGTTGTCAACATGCATATCATTACATCGTTGTCCCAAGATGGGATCCGGAGTCCTCGCCTACCCTCAGGTTTCGTTGGGCCGCATTGTTTAGAAAACTCTGTTACATGTAACATGCGATTATTGTCAACCTACAGTGCTCGCATCCTACGCTAACATTGTGCAGCACGCAGTCATCCCATATATACCCCCGGCCTCGCTCTTGTCGACCAGTACTGCACATTCGACCCAGCTCCTGCTTTCCATCGACTTCCTTTTCTAATCTGCTGGAACAGATTCCTGCAAGGAACAAACCGCTGCAAAATGGCAGGGACTCGGGCGAACACCCTTCAAGCAGCGAACTGGCTGGCCCAGATCAATGCCCGTGAAACCAGAACCTGCGCCGTAACTACAGAGACATTCGTTGCAAAAGGGCAATGCACCAAGGTTCGACCGTCTGCTGGTACATATCGCGCATGTCTTGATGTCAATAAGCCTCGTCCGAGCCTTCCGAATCTACTGATTGATCTCAGTGAGGAAACAGCTCTGAACAATGTCGGGCTGGAACTTGTGAATCTTGCTAATGTTGCGGATTCGTCTCAGAGCCGTTCCAAGGTTGTTGCGGAGGATGCTGAGGACTTCGGGGACTTTGTCTCGGCGGATGCTCCTCCCTTTGATATGGGAGACCTCCTTCTCGTCGATATGGGGGGAGCCTCCGAAGGACACTGTAAGTATTCCTCTAGATGTCGACAGCGAAGGCCCGTTCGGAGACCATGCTGAAATCACGAACGGAGGACGCGCTGATAACGACTTTGAGGAAGACTTCGGTGACTTCATCTCACCGCCGGATAGTCAAAACCCACCAGCTGTGGCTCTCGACTTCCTTAACGATAACCCATTCGGAGACCATGCTGGAATCGCTCAAGAAGGGTGCGATAGCGATAACTCTGGGGCGGAGTTCGGCGACTTCTTATCCGCGGTCGCGTCTGATCCAGCAGCTTGCTCGCACCTGACCAAGCCAGATGATTCCAACACTGCCTCAATGAATCCATTCATGGATGCTATCTATGCGCTCCACGCTGAAGAAGACGGAGGTATTAGCGCCCTGCTCTCCGAGGCTAACTTCGCTTCGGTCCACAATCCGGATCAGAAGGTTTTGAGCCGTCCTGATGACAAACCGCAGCCAAAGGTCAGAAACTCCCAGTCAGTCAACGTTAGCGCTATTCGCCATGGTCTCAAGAACCTCCTTGGTGTCGAACACCTCGGTGGTCACGGCCAAAATGTGGTCCAGAGTGCTAAGACGGCAGAAACGCGCAAGACTGGGCGGCGCTGGGGCGAGTATCTGAACAAGGTGCGTGGCAAGAATGGCGACCATGCAGAGCCTAAGGAACAGCCTAAAACCCAGAACTGGTCTCCGAAGCCTCGCGAGCAAGTCTTCGTCGCGAAACATTCGATGACTGAACGTATCGTTTGCGCAAGTCCGGTTCTCGAGCAGTGGCCACAGGAGGAGAAAAGTCCCGCTGTTCATGATCTCGCAATTGCTGTTGATATAGGTGTACGGCACGCCTTTGCGGAGGTTGAGGGCTTCATGCAGGCGGAGCTGGATGGGTGGCGTGAGTAAGCCGAGTTACTCAGAGCATTTGCTTCACAGTGCTTTGGACTGATGCACTGGTTGGATCAGTCTTGGATATAGTTCGTAACCTCGTTGAGGTATCCGACTTTCGTTGGGTTGATACATAATACCTAATAACATTTCCCTGTGAAAATACTTGGTGTCTGCTGATAGTGGAATTTTCCTGTATGCCCCTTGTGCATGATTACCTCCTTCGTGATTAAGGCATTCAAAATGGAAACCTTGTGCTCGAAGTGCAATCCAGGATTTGGAACAAAATTTCTGGATGTAAACGTATTCCTAGAGCTATCAGACATGCTGAATTAAGCTCAGAGAAGACCCAAGGGTAATTGTATGCGCTAAGGTTCTTCTGAGTTACACCAAATCGAGGGTGTGTAGATACTTTGTATAGAACGAGTGCAGAACCTCACCCTAACCGTAGGGACGCAACAGAGCAAGACCGCAGCCATTGTAGAATTTAAGGCTGTTGAATGGCTCACATGAGATGGCTTCCACCTAAACCATACAAGGTATACACTTTCCTAATGAGAATGTTTCCTAGTCAGAATGGCGTTATTTTCGCCTCCGAAGCGAGTATCCGTGGGCGGGCATGGGCAAGGTGAGAGAGGGCGAGGGATATGCGCCCCGAAGACTGAACCGAGCGACCTATTGTGAAACTTTTTTTTCGTTTTCCATTGCGAATGCTACAGCACGCACAACCAGTTGGTCATGCTCCTACTCCAAGCTCACGGCAGAGTGCAAACGCCCCGTGACGTCAACGAGCAAACGGTCTTGCGAAAATCTAAGAAAGGAGGCAACTACTGTGCAGAAAGGTACCGTAAACTTGCGTTCCATCACTGGTATCACCAAAGTACAATGTCCGCCTGGGACAGGGAGCAAGAGATGGATTCGACTCACAAACGGAGTCACTCAAAGGCGGAAGAACGTGCTCTGCGCGCCACAAGAGACTCTTTCGCTGACTCGGAAGCTGAAGACAATGTTGACGCTACCAGTACCCCTCGAAGTCTAAGCAAAAAGGCCAGACTTGCTGCCCAGAGGAGATTCGAAATCCTTTCGGCGGGTTCCGCCAGCAAAAACAAAATAGCTTCTCCATCTACTCCGAAAAAGGTCTCCAATCCCCCGCCCGAACATCCGTCGTCTCCGAAGCTCTCGGACTACGACGCTGACTGGAAGCCTCCAGCAGAGACACACCTGCTCATCGCACATCGGCTCGCAGGGATGATCAACATGAATCTGCTCGAAACGGAGACATACATTAGCCCCAAACAAGTACAAGTGATGTGCAAGTCTTTTACACTCTCCGAGATAACTTCTCACTTTAACAAGAAGGGGTATCCTTACTGGTTACCAGCTTTGGATGCCATTATCCGGGACCCAACCACCGTTCGTTTGATACCCCAGACGCCGCAGGAGGGGCAACAATTGACTCCAAAGCAACACAGGAAGGAAACGGAGGTTACTGGTGCTAAGAAAACTGGGAAGGAGAAGGCAAATTTTTCACATTTTGCGAGGTTGGCGAGGCTGAAGAGTGAGGTGTGGGAGAAGCGCGTCTCTAGCGGTGTGAGGGACCAGCGGAAGGCAAAGGCCGAGGAAGAGGGCCAGACAAAGCATGATGAGGAGGATGTCGATTTGGATGATACTCGTGTCTAGCTTTTCACTCTTGGAGAAAGCGCAATGCTTACGAGATGGCTATACCGAAGACTGCGCGAAAAACTAGCCACAGGCCGAGAAATCAAGATTCATGGATGGAGAAACATCATCAATCTGGTCAATTGATGGACAATCTGCAATAACCTAACCTAGTGATAGTAGAAATGCATTAGAGAAGTGCAAGTTCATTGCTAACATGGAGACCATCAACAAAAGAGTGCTGGAACCGAGCTTGAATGGGACCACTGAGTTCATGTCTGCTGTTCGCTTTGCTATAGCGAACGAGCGTGGACAACCGAGTGTTGTGCATGGATATTGCGTACACTCACCTCAGGTGAGTGCTAGAAGAAGGGGCTTTGAAGGATTAGATACCTAGATGATATGAATGCATGTCCAAGAGTCGGAACAATCCGGGGCCCGCTCACGACCTTCTCATAATAACTTTAGGGCAGACTTCTAGCGGAAACGGGGGAGTTAATTGAATGGGCCCTAGAATAAATCGCAAGCCTCCTGGATTGCGGAGCAGAACCATCGGAGAGCGATCCGTGAGAACATTGAACTCAGGATGTGTTTGAAACACCAGTCGCGGGCGACATTGATTTCTTGGGCATGGAAGGATTGAAGAAGCCGTTGGAAAAGAACGAACGGCCGTGCAGATGGGATCGCAAGCATTCAGAACTGGTCCGCAAAGATGTCCTTGTGGATGGCTGGATTTTATATTGGTCAAGAGTGGCTCGCCATGCTTTACCTCTAACTGGCCGAGGCTTAAATTAATACATTCTTGCACGTCTTTCACGCACATTAGATGCAGGGTTGCTATGACTCCACAATCTAGTAGAGGTTATCCGCTCGTGGCTGGAATAGGTTTGTCGGAAACACATGCATCACATGCGCCTTCCGAGTGCCGACTTCCCATTGTTTCCCCTACCTCTATCTGCATGCTCTTTGCTCTTTGCTCAATTCTAGGGGTTACATAATAGAACTAAGTGACCCATAACAACATGGTTGGTCTTAGCAAGCCCGTGGCCGCAATGCGTATAAGTCCGTCCATAATGTGACGGCGGAAACTTGAAGAACATCCGCTCCCGCCTTCAAGGAACTGCACAATTACGGCAATGACAAGCCCGAGGAATAGCAGCGCTGGCCCAAAAAGCAAGGAATCACCCAGGAAACGAGACGCGAGTGAGAGACCCGAGGTAACGATGTCCGATGTTACTGGCGAACCGCAGGTCGACAATTCCTCTGAATGTAGCTCGAAGTTTGGAAAGATCACCTTCGGTAACACCATGGACGTGGATGGGGACATTTACAACCTGTACAGGGTGACAGTAACCCTTCCTGCTGGACACCCTTCTCAAATCATTGACAACCTAGACAAGGAGCCCGCCTACGATGACGCCGTATCGCGACACAGACTCGCCGCCCTTGTGAACCTCAATATGACCCGCGATGAGTACGACAGCAGAACCGGCCCCTTAACAGCACACGATATTGGAGTTGCATTGGGAGACAGCGAGTTTACTGTAGAGTGGGCAATGAATTACCTGCTTGGCTTAGGCTACCGTGACTTTTCTCTTGAGGGTATAAGGAATTGTTTGAATCAAAATCAGCCCATGGTGGCCGTCGCTGGAAGATACCAACAACCTCCTGAGGGATATGAAGGGACGGCTGGGGAGAGAGGCATTTATACAGGTCTGCGGAATGGGAAAGAAATTGAGCTTTACCCGAGGCTATGGGACGCGGACGATGAACCGCGTCATAGGAACAGGTCGGACGGCCTGAGGGTATGGTACCCTCCCCCTTGGCATGTATACGATCGAGGAAGCCCGTGAAACGGAGAGGCACATGCAATGGGAGACATAGTGATAGACCGTTTGCTCATTGGGTTTTAAGAGTCTTATACTGTTGGGTGCGCCTAACAGGCCAAAATTATCGAACTAGTACCAATATGAAACTACAAAAAACAGTTAGGGAGCGAATAGTTACCATGTACAGCCTACTGCCTAGATACCTTTAATGATAGTATAAGACAACCTTGCCTTACTTATACAAATAATAGTATAGGTAGATGCTGCAGTAGCGGCAACAAAGAATCGTAAGTTCTGATTAGAAAGGCTGCTGGAGTTCGACAAGAACGCTACCAAAAGATATAAGGCCCCTTAAGTCTTGCTTGCGCCTCTGCGTTAGGAACAGGAAGAAACCGAGTCGTATCAGTAGTGCACTTGAAATTCGCGGACTTAAGCCACATCACTACTGCATATCAGTCTGTGATATTCTGTGATATAAGGGCCTTCGTAATCCCTTCGGGCTCGCATAAATAATATGCTGGAGCAGTAACTTAAAGATCCACATACCGTTGCCAGTGCTAAACAGGCTCAACACACATGATTCAATCCTTGAGGCCTTGATGTCCACAGCAGAAGCCCTGATTTCATAGTCCTATTTTGCTCTTGTATGTTTTCATCGCATTTAGCACGATGTTCGAGCCGTTTGCTATCCGACACTCGGGGAGTCTTCGTCTTCTTATCAGACCATTGACGTTCAGATGCGACAGTCCAAAATTTCTCGCCCTCCACTTCACATCACGACCTGCTACACCAGCCAGCCGTTAAGCGTGCGCAGTCCCCAGGCCCCGATTCTATTAGTCTTCACCGACCTCCTCTTCCGCCTTCCAAACCTCCCACGCCACCACAATTCCGGCCTTCAACACCACAGCTGTCCAAAGCGAACCCATCATCCCAGCCTTACTACGCGCCCAAAAGCCTCCCGCAAGGGCTCCCAGCGCCAACATCACGGGAGCCGCAACCCTCCTATTTCTCTCCACATTCACCGCTGAGAATAACCTCGGATCACTGAACAAGTCGCAATAATTACTCGTCAGCACAACACTGGTTAGCCCGTTATGCTGCAGTACACGACTCAAGACCGCCTGGCCGGAGGACTGAAAAGCGACTGCCCCGAGTGGAACGAGGACTTGCCAGTGGAGCTCTGTTGTAGACTCTGGGCCTGTGGCATTTTTGGCAAGAGTGACGATTAGAGCTGCGAGGGTAACGAATAGGAGTTGGATGAGAGAGGAGGAGACGAGCACCCAACGGCGGCGTGGAGAAAACAAGCGATGGAAGCGGCTGAAGAAGAATGACCCTAAGCAGAAACATGCCAGGGAAACGCCCGCTTTGATCCAGCGGGTATCAGAATGAGGGCTGGCGAGGCCCAGACCGAAGTATACTGTGTTTCCTATCCATCTTCTATGTCAGTCGGATGTCTTGACGTTGTTGGGGCTTCCCGGGGGTTGCCCCAGAAATCCATATGGGAACATACCAGTCTGCATGCTGACGAAGCAACCCCATGATTGTGTCGCTGCGCTATCGAGAAGTCCAGTGATTAGGTAGCAGAAGAGTAACACGAGATCTCCCCAGCTTTTGCTGATGTTTCTGTTGTGGTGTTTCTTCACCCGCGACCAGATCCGAGTGTTATCCGATCGTTTACCGGACCTGCGTGAAAGGGGTGGTGTTTCTTCGTCTGCGCGGCCATCCTGGCCGAGAGTAAGACCGCTCATCCTTAAGACCGAGGGCAGATGTCTTCAATGATAAAGAAGATGTGCTGAAAAGTATTTAACTTGGATGAAATTTGACCTTAGCTCTTAACCGGGGGCATTGGCACAACCATGGAGTGCAAGAATACAACAGCAAACAGAGATGTCCAACAAAATACAAATACAGCAGAAGGGAGCAATTGTATATCCGAGTTTCGAATGAAACGATGTATCATGTTCATGAAAATTCATCCTGCTGAAGTAGGTATGGCCGACTATGTTGCCCATGCCAAGCCATGAAAAGAAAAGCCCCAATGTCGTCATTCGAAACACGCGAGTCAGATGCCGCAGTCGTTAGCCACGAGAGGATGCCGCAGCTTTCACGGTAAAACTTTCAAAGCTTAAATTTGAGAACATTGTCGTAGATGTCGAAGACACTCTTGCTATTTTGGTCGTGTTCAGCTTGTAACGCTTACCCTAGGGTAGTGTTCCAAGGTTCTTGTTCCAGCGGAATATCAGTCACTAGCCAAAACGGGACGAAATGCAGGTCCCAACTGAAAGCCAGAAATACCTAAACGTCGGGAAATATATGATAGAAAGGTCGACCGCGTCGGAGAGGATCTTGAACGTTACCTTGCGAACGTAAAATCTTCCTTTAAGTTTTATCGGACAATCACCATTTTGCTCACAGAAGGCGGCAGTTCTTCCAGAAGGGCGAACTATAGTACCTTGCCTCCACGAGTTTCCATCTCGAAGACTGTAGCCGCAGCACACCTCGAGATTTAGCCGGGAGCTTTAAGAGATATCCGATCGTATCCCAAACCGGATGACTGATCGTTCTCTATCTTAGGGCGCGCCTGTCACCATCTTCGTAGCGGAGCGCCTTCCCAGGACGTTCGATTAACAACTGGGAGACGTCGGCAACGTGCCAAAGAATATGGGCCCCTTAATCAAACATTCGAGTGGCTACGAGCCCCTTGAAGTCCTGGAGATCTTGCGTGCCGAAAAGTTCGAAACTTGTTCGCTGTTCCAGCGGCTTAGGGTGCCCCTGTTCCAGTGGCTCGGGGACACGCTTCAATCATTGGTGAAGGATCGCTTGCTTCCTCATAATCCTAAAACCGGTGGGAAGATTGAGAAGGCGATTTGGAACACCGAAAATGATATCGTGGAAGGAAAGTCAGGCGGATCAATGAAGATGGTTATGAGAGGACAGAGTTATGGACGGTATCCATGCCTGTTCCAATCTATCATGATGGATCTCGAAGAGATTTCCAGTATCGTTCCCGCCACGTTCGTTCATCCGTAGGATTCATAATTGACTCTACGCGGCTTTAAGTATTTGAGTGAAACCACGGCCGGAGCGTACTCTGTAAAGGGGGATTGGGGATGTCAAAGAATGTTGCTCTTTCCTAGAGGCCGTACGCGTGTCCCATACTGTGTAACGTGTTTGATCACTCATCCGGCCAGATCACTCATCCGGCCAGATCACTCATCCGGCCAGATCGCTCATCCGGCCAGATCACTCATCCGGCCAGATCACTCATCCGGCCAGCCCACCAAAACGCTCGTGTTTTCTTGTACAATAGCTCTACGCCACTACGATAAAATATATAGTAAATAGATCTATTAGATGCGCGCTATCTAGCAGTACATTGAGTTCTTCTATGACCTTGTTCATGGCATTTGCTGCAGGTTGGTGGTGCTTGAGGCCTACTTGGCTGCCCCAACTGCTCTACCTGCTGGAGCACCCTTTCTGCCTCTGCAGCAAGCAATTGACCTTCCTCTGCCCGTAGAGCTCTTCCATGGGCTATATACTGTCAGTGCTGCTGCTCCTTATGCTGCCGGCGCTGACTAGCCTGTCGAAGCTTCCTATTCTCCTCTGCAAAGATCGTTACTGAATTCATTGCAAGTTGACAACATTTGACAAGCTGGCAGATAGCCTGAGTAGTAGGACTCTGAGAAGGCCGATGAAGGTAGTCCTGGATAAGTTGAGCCTGCTGCTCTAGCTGAGCAATAGTATGTGGTGTCTCTGCTGTCCATGCGACCTCAGTGTTGGCCACTGTCCCCTGGTGGAGATGGCGTCCTGACCACTATTAGTGACGATAAGATGCGTTCTAGACAGGCTGGGACTAGCCCTGTCACCTGGAAGCCAGCCTGGATATTCTGCTCTGAGAAGACTGTCATTCTGATACCTAGATATATCTGTAGAAAGTCCTGCTTGTCGATATGGAAGATGCCTTGTCGTGCAAGCTCAAAGACCTGATGGTCGTATGCATGCTTGAGAGGCGAGAAGCAGCCAACATCAAGTGGCTGTAGAAGGTGCGATGTATGTGGCAGCATACAGAGCATGATAATTTTGTTCTCTTTGCAGAACTGGTCAAACTCAGGTGTTGTATGGCTGCTGTGGCCATCAAGGATAAGCAAGCGGTAGATGCCCACTACGTGAGGCCCTGTATGTCGATGGAAGTGCTTTACCCACTCAAGGCCAAGCTCATCAGTCATCTAGCTATTGTCGCTAATAGCAATAACCCACTCAGGTGGGAGGCCTTCATACCAGCTAGCCTGGTGGAGCTTTCCAAGCAGAATGATGAAGGGTGGGATAGACTAACTAGATACATTGATACACTCGATTGTCGTTACCTACTCTCGATCACCTGGCTGTATAGTCACTGCCTGGCTGACTGCCTCAGAGCTTGTAATGACTTTTGATGTCACAGCAATCCCCATCATAAAGCCAGTCTCATCAAAGTTGTAGATATCCATGTCTAAGATGCTGTACGACTGATGCGTCTCCTCTACAAGCTCGAACCATGCATGGATCTA